GTTGTACCACCGTTGCCGCAGCAGATGAAATTGAATTAAATCAGCCCTAATTAGTCCTAATTACCGACATTGTGTAATTGAGGGGATGAGGTTGGCTCCATACCCCCGGGCTTTCGGCTCCCAAACCAAATTACCCGGACAATTGCAGAATTGGATGGGTCTGATACAAGATATGTCATATCTATGCCTCACCTGGTTAAAAGCTGTTTCATGGGTAACATGATATAAGCCTGCACACTTTTCCACGCAATGCAGTGGAAGATTATGTATTATGTACAGTGTAGTAGTGTGAAAGAATAACAGTTGTAGCTCTGTAATTTGTGTAAATCTTATCCTTGGTCTAACATGTGCTAGGCACAGACATTCTGTTTACCTCAGTTGCTTTGTTTTTTTCAAAATATGATCTGGTTGAAGTCATTATTATTTACTAGGCAGTGTACCCACCATATGTTTTGGATCATAATTTAAAAAGTTCTGAAAGAGGACGTACTTTCTTTGATCACTGACACATAGAAGCATGAAACAAAGCAAAAACAACTAAACTGTGTCAGATTTGGTGGGTCTTTTTTATTTAGATAATATCAAGCTTGGTGAACACTCTAAAACTGTAAAAGTCAAAACATTTTCTTTGTCCTAAACTTGTGTGCTGAAACTCAAAATTGACTTTTCATATCTTCATCACTGCCTTGCCAATTTTGTCTGCTCTCCAAAGACTTTCACGCATGAAACAATGACAGGAATCAAAAGACAATCTTGCAAAATATAACAAACTCTGGGTCATTCAAATTTGAAAGATTTTTATATATTACCCAGTATGGTTGCTCCTGAAAGTTATTTGTTAGAAAGACAAAGTACAATGTTTCAAGAGTTTCTCTTATCTCTCTTTTGTGTCATTTGTGATCACTCGTCATTTTCAAATCCTTCTTGTGTATTTTAACGATACGCCAAGTTTTCAAGTGATGTGAATAATACATTTCACTAGTACTTGAAATGGGCATACAGGTTCAGGCCTCTTTTTCAACCTTTACCACCTACCGTTTTGTACCCTTTATATAGTTAATCATTTATTCATTATGGTTGTAAATTTTCACAAAGTAACAGTGACACAGATATCAATAAGGCATGTGCCTGGTAATGTCAGAACGGATTCATATCATCATTAGTATTGATATGATTATATTGGAGTCTATTGGAGATGGGAGCATAGGAAACAATGGCCAAGCATGTTATTGTTAGGCCACACCAATTTAATTTGTTGGTTCTCGGATTCGCCTCTTCGTTTTTTTCTGATTTGCAGAAAAAAAAAATTGATTCTGGTCCTGAATCAACTGAAAAATGCTCATGTTTTGCTCCCCAACAGTTGAGGAAAGTCCTTTTCTTCCTAGTTGTTACAGTTTTCCCATCTATCATTGCAGTGGTTTGATTAAAAGTTCAAAATTCAATGTTTAAATTTTAACCCAGCCTTTTGTGTTGACTTCATGGCTCATTTTGTAGCATTGAAGCCTATAATAGGATGCCTAGACCTGTTTTTATTTTTATTTTTTTTCGCCCTGTCGCTTCATATTTTTTCTGAAAAAATCCGAGAACCAACAAATTAAATTGGTGTGGCCTTATATACAAACATGTAAGTGTAATAGTTCTAGTACGTCTTACACACCATTGAACATCCCAAAGTTTTTTTATCATTTTGTGTCTTGTTTGTGTTCCTTTGTTTGACCCATTTTGTACTTTACCTTAATGCAGTATCAAAATGTATTGATCATCTAGGCCATTAAGTAGAACCTAGTTTTATGCTAACAGTATGAAGTTTTCATTGTCATTGTATATAGGCTGACATAGATATATTAATGTAATTACAAAGATGAAGAATTATGATTATTCTTAAGATGTACCATATCTTCTGAGGAGGTTAAACTGCCTCACCATGAACCTCTTGCTTCATAAATTATACTTTTCATAGTTTTACACAATGTGTTGTGGCCAACACATAATGTGTATTGGAATATCATACCAGTAACCTGTATACCGTGTACTACGCAATGAGCATACAGTAACAGTGTTACATGTAGTCTAACTGTTACTAGGTGGCACCTACATGTATATATAAGCTGAGGTGTGAGTATTGCAGGCAAAATGTGTTGACCTGTCCTCATAGTTTTACATAGTTATGTTTCTTTGCATATTATATGCAGTATAGTCTATATAATGCCTTATGACATACAGTAACAATAATTATTAACATACATATAGTCTAACTGTTACTGGGTGGTACCAGGTTAGTATAGCCTGAGGTATGAGTATTGCGGCTGACTTGTGTTGACCTCATAGTTTTACACATATTATGATAATAATAACCTTTATTGTACATACAGTACCTAGTCTATATAATGCCCAACGAACATACAGTAACACTATGAACATACATTAGTCTAACTGTTACTGGGTGGCACCTGTAGTCTAGCCTGAGGTGTGAGTATTGCGGGTGACTGAGGTTAAAATTCATATCTTCTTTCATTGATATGCATTTCATAGTTTTACACACTAGTTGTTGACATATCATATACAGTACCTAGTCTATATACTACCCCAATGAACATACAGTAAGTGATAGTTTAAATGTTACTGGGTGGTACATTAAAAATATACAAAATGTACATGTAATTGCTAAGAGTAAGATTGATGTTTTTGTTTCATTGATATACTTCTCATAGTTTTACCTAATGTTGCTTGGAATATTACATACTTCCATATGATGATAATGATGATGTATATACTACCCAATGAACACACAGTAACAGTGTTACATGTAGTCTAACTGTTACTGGGTGGCACCTATAGTCTAGCCTGAGGTGTGAGTATTGTGGCTGACCTCAGGCCGGCCCAGAGTAGCCCGACTGTCGCCTGACGCCGTGCCCTGGGGCGACACACGAGACACACCGACTGTCTCTCATGGAGACACCCAAACAATCGCACCTCGCACCTACATGTTGTTAGCCTCCGTAGCAGGCTTATAGAACTGGGAGTTTGGTGGTCTTCGGCTGTTTTCTGATTAGCCCAGTTCTGAAAATGGGGGTAATTCAACCAGGACGACTATGTTGTCTATATGCAATCAGAAAATAGCACATAAAAGATGCCAAAGACCCTGAAGACCCCCAGTTTTTGGCGTGCTATGGAGGCTACATGTTGTCTCCACCAGACTCCTCTGCAGGCTGATATAATAGTCTGTAATAGTAACTAGACTAAGTGATGTGTTAATTATGCCATTTTTTGATAGCATGTTGCTCTATTTGATGATATCTTGTGTTGACCACAGCGCAATCCAGGCATCCAGTAAGGTTGCCTGTGAGTCTGGTGTTAGTGTGTACTGTACATACTGTTTATATGTATGAGTTCTAAATAAACTGTTCATCAGATTGATAGTCGAAATCGGCCTAAAAAAGGTGTATATACATGTAATTGGCCAGGGGAGTTAGCCGGGTATATTATAGGACAGATTGTATACTGATTTTCACTATTTATTCAGCCTACAAAGGAGTCTGGTGGAGACTACTTAACACCTTGCACCACACCTGAGGTCTCAATTCTCACTCCATAGGTTTGGCTGCAAATCTGCCTAACTCTACAACCACATCAAGTGACTGTTAGTTGAGTCAAAATGTACAATGCTTGACAGATGTTACATAGCAGCTACTATTAACATAAATGCATGTGTACAGTTACTGTAGTCTACCTAACTACACAAGTAGAACTATCTGAAGACTTCAACAATAGTACAACCTATTCCTATACCTACACAAGGCAACAAAAATACCCTTTGAAAACTTAATCTCTGGTATTATGTAAAAATGACAGATAAAGAGGTCTAAACAAATACTAGTAGTAGTACACTCACAGGTAATACATGTATGTATATTTAGGTTGCTTCACAGTGTGTTTATCCAAAAGTAAAAGAATGGTGCTAGATTTTGATGTGTAACTAGTATACAACTTCCAGGGAGTCCTAAATTTGACCACAGCTTTTCAGGAGACATCCTGAACTCAAAGAACTTCATAATTTAGAAAGTAAAAGTGTTCTACTCCATAGACTATACACTGTCTTGGTCTGAGAGTGAAAGAACAGTAGCCACTATTGTTTTTAACACCTGTCCTGTGTACTGTCATGTTTACAGAGCCTATAAATTTCACTGTTTCCGCCCAAGCCCATTTGTGTAAATCAGAACCTGCAAAGGATGACACTAAGTACCTGCAAAACGCACCTTTCCACCAGTTGTCCTTTGTCTGCTAACACCAGCCCATAGGCTACTTCTCAACTCTTCTTCCGATGGGGCTTTAGGATTGTTGTATGTACACCCAGTATATATAGTTGACTGTGTGTACATGTTTTAGTGAGTAATATAATGTGGATATTGTTACTAGTTATCCCTCTGTTCTTTTCACTTGCATCTGATGTTTTGGTGAGTTTCCATGTCAAAGAATTCTTTTGTTGTACTTGTTTTGTTGTGTGATTTGTTACAAGACTCCAGCATTATTACATGTAATACAGTTTTTAATCTATCAGGGCTTAAAAATGATGTAATCAGTATGATCTTAGTTTGTTTATACTACCGGTACTAGTATTTAGCAATGACCTGAATCATCTAGATCTCCCTCATTGCCTCAATAAAAAAGGTAGTACTACATAAAGCACACAATTAACACACATCTTATAGTAAATTATCTTATAAACCTCTTATCACATTTAGAATATGACTTAAAAAGATCATGTTTTATGCTATATTGTGTTTATTATAATATATAATAATTGTCATTAAAACTTGTCTTCTGTTGTTTGTTTCTATCTGCAGTGTTTGAAGGAGAGTTATGTGAAGGCCCTGGGAGTTGGCATCGGGTTTGAGCTGCAAAGAATTGACAGAGTTGACTTTCATGTAAGAATTGTGGATTCGAAGAGAAGTGACTTCCACCTAAAAAAAGTGTCTTCTGTTGTTTGTTTCTATCTGCAGTGTTTGAAGGAGAGTTATGTGAAGGCCCTGGGAGTTGGCATTGGGTTTGAGTTGCAGAGAATAGACTTCCACCTGCAGACTGTAGCAGTAGGGGTGGGGGAGGCTGTACAGGACACACAGGTACTACCACATTCTTATGAAGGATTTTCTTACACTGTATTACATATTGCATGCTTTCATTTTATTTTCTGTATCTGTATTTTATCTACCCACAGGGTGTAACATATCACTGCAAGGGCACACATTGACAAAATATACTTATTATATAAATAACAAACAAGGAAACAAAGATACAAAATAACTTCAATTACAACATATTGGTCTAACCTTCATAAAGTTGAACATATTGGTAAAAGTGCTTCAAAATCATACAACAAACTAATGAATTAATTAATGAAAAACAAACTTTTTGTGGGTCAGCTGTTACCAGCTTAGTTCTCCCAGTGCTGAACCTGGCTTGTAAATGAGCTGTTTCATTGCCAATACAAACTACAGGTGCACATCGACGGGAGTCACCAACCTGGCTGGCTATTCCAGGAGTCCACACTCGACGACACTCACTGTGCAGCTGTAGCCATTCAGGGGCTCACACAGGTGAAGTAGAATAAAGTCAGCATGTTGGTGGAGCATACTGTGCCTGCACGAAAGCTGTAATGTAGATCTTTGCATAGTACTTCAGCAGAAATTTTTGTTTGGGGTTGTGTTTACGTATTTAGGGCTAACATCCCGTCTATCGATATCAAATGTTGCGTCAGAAAATGTATTGTCTGCAAGGGGGAAAATTCTGATGCAATATTGACCAACATCCAACAAAACTTTGAAAATCTGGGTTTTGTGCAGGTGCAGTACATTCTGCTGACATCTGTTGTTTCAGGACTCATGAAATATGACTTAAAAAGATCATGTTTTATGCAATGTTTTGTTTGAACTTATTGAGTACCTCCTAAGCCTGTTCTTCGTGAACTTTATTGCTACCAAGAAGGTAACTTATGTTTTCGGTAGTGTAGTGTGTCTGACTGTCAACACAGTAACTCCAGACAGCTTTGATTGATTGTCTTGATATTTTGCACTGCACATTGCATTTCTACGTAATTATGAAACAGTAATGAAGGCCAAGCCCTTAATATTCCTGACTAACTCGAGATAATCCTGCCAATTGTTTTGAAACACTGGGTGGGAATCAAACCCTGACCTCACAGCCACAAGCCTTAGTTAACCCGTACAGTTTAATATGGAACGTATAACAGTGTGTCGGGTCAAACCAGAAGTAACCATAACTCTCGTTCTCATAAACCTGCTTTTCATAGACTCTCCAGTGTCACTGACGAAAGGTAGCGCATGCTACCTGAAATGTCTGACCATTTCCAAAATCATATCCAGTGGCTTGAGTAGCTTTTTTTTGGCATATCTTATTACCTAGATGTCTAAACTCTCCAATGGCACTGAGGAAAGGGTGGAAGCTACCTGAAACGTCTGACCGTTTCCAAGCTCATCCAGTTGCTTGAGTAGCTGTTTTTTTTGGCATATCTTATTACCTGGATGTCTTACCTTCACAGCCACTAGCCAGAGTGTACTAACCTCAGATAACCCGTGCAGTTTAATATGGAACGTATAACAGTGTGCCGGGTCGAACCAGAAGTAACCATAACTCTCATTCTCATAAACCTGCTTTTCATAAACTCGCCAGTGTCACTGACGAAAGGTAGTGGATGCTACCTGCAACGTCTGACCGTTTCCAAAATCATATCCAGTTGCTTGAGTAACTTGTTTTTTAGGCATATCTTATTACCTAGATGTCTAAACTCTCCAGTGTCACTGACGAAAGGTAGTGGATGCTACCTGAAACGTCTGACCGTTTCCAAACTCATACCCCTTTGCTTGAGTAACTGTTTTTTTGGCATATCTTATTAACTGGATGTCTAACCTTCACAGCCACAAGCCTGGCCACTTGCCTGTAATAAACTCAGTTAACCTGCAGTTTAATATGGAATGTATAAGAGTGTCGGGTCAAACCAGAAGTAGCCATAACTCTATTTATTAAACCTGCGCCATACATCGGATATCCAGTAATAAGATACAAAAGAAAAACAGTTACTCAGGCAACTGGATATGATTTTGGAAACGGTCAGACAGAAGTTTTAGAGGGTTAAACCTGTAACGTCTGACCACTTCCAGAATCATATCCAGTGGCTTGAGCAACTGTTTTTTGGCATATCTTACTACCTGGATGTCTAACCTTTACAGCCACAATCCCGTCCACTAGCCTGTACTAACCTCAGTTAACCTGCAGTTTAATATTTATGGAATGTATAAGAGTGTCGGATCAGACCAGAAGTAGCCATAACTCTATTTATTAAACCTGCGCCATACATCCGTGAAGGTTAGATATCCAGTAAAATAAGATACAAAGGAAAAACAGTTACTCAGGCAACTGGATATGATTTTGGAAACGGTCAGACGTTTTTTATTCTCTATTTATTAACCTGTGCCATACATCGGTGAAGGTTAGATATCCAGTAATAAGATACAAAAGAAAACAGGCAACTGGATATGATTTTGGAAGCGGTCAGACGTTTCAGACGGTTAAACCTGCAACGTCTGACCACTTCCAAACTCATATCCAGTGGCTTGAGCAACTGTTTTTTTCAAATTGGCATATCTTATTACCTGGACATCTAACCTTCACGGATGTAACCGTAACTCTATTGGTTAAACCTGCGCCTTGTTTCCGCAGGCCGTCTCGGAACCCCCGCCGTTCCAAGTCCTGAACTTTGCGGAGCTGACAGGCGCCGCGCAGCCCCTTCTTCCGGAGGATGTCTCCTACTGGGAAAGCTTCCGCAACAAAAAGGAGAGGCCGCAGCTAGCAAAGAGATGACGTATTTATTGGTCTTGATCTTATTAGACCTTATTTCAGTCGAGCTGTTTTGTGTATATAAGGTAGATAAATAATAAGTGAAGAAACTGGCCTGAGAGATTTTTATGCATTGTTTAGTACCACTTAGAGACAAGGGTCGCAAGGTTAGGTCTTGCAAGTTGTAATTTGGAGTAACAAAGACCTTTAGTTGAAAGATATCAGGGCTTAAAATACTGGGTGCATATTATATGTACCGTAGATAGTCAAGAAACTGGCTGGACAGATTTGTATGTGTTGTTTAGTGCTTCTGAGAGGCAAGGGTCATCTCTACAGTTGAAAGGTATCCTTGCTGTGTTCTTGAAATACTGGGTGCACGTGCACTCAATATTAGAGCTATGCACGTAAATTTTGACTGTGGGTGCACCTAAATATCTGTGTAGGTTACTTTTATCGTTATAAACTATTATATAGCACTAGTATATAGCATACATGTGTCAGAAAAAAAGCCTATGTTGCATTACTTGTCTAAGTCAACAGCTATAGAGTTTCAGATTCAAGTTCTAAAGATTCAAGATTTGAGGCAAGATACGTGGATGCGATATACACTTGTCCAAGAATAATGTTGTAACGTATTGTTTCTACTGGGATGGCCAGGATGCTGATATTTGAAGGACTATGAAAAACAGGAAGCAGTATTTTATAGCTACTGTTGAATGATAGAAACAATGTTTATGTCTGTAACAAGTGTTACCAGAATGTTATATTGTATTGAAATAAGTCACTGTAATCATTGGAAATGATGTAAATTTTAAACGGAAGAAAATAAATCATAGCAAAGCATATTTTACCACTGTCTGCTATTTTATTAAACTCCTTTCACACAGCCTTTTATCAAGAATCGAATATACATTTCATTGTGCCATTCACAAGTCTTTACATTATATACAAACCATTTGAAAATCAAGTATCAATGTAACAAGTATCATCTGCATTGTAACAACTCAAGCGTTTCTTCCAATAACTTTCTAAGAGTTCTCAGACTAATGCATGATTCTGCAATACAGCCTTATACAAACATTCCATTTGGAAAACTACATTTCATTTTGAGTAGATATGACAATGCCTTTCTCTAAGTGCATAAACTATTCATACAAAATACATCATGCAAAAGCTTGAAACCTACTACTATAAAATACCATGCGATGTTGACGTCAAATTTCTTAATATATACTATGGTTTATACACATACTGCATATCCTTGGCACATTGTATGTGCTTGATGCACATTCTTAAACTATGCACCAACATTTTAAAAAGCAGCCTAAAATGCTCTATACAACAATTATAAAAAGCTTCATAATCCCATTTTGTAAAAATTGTATTGCCTCAATGCCTAAGAATAAGTCACTCTACAAGAAAATAGTCTATAGTTGCATTACAAAAACACCTAAATTTGTAGATCAGTACAATGTACATTTTACAGATATAAGAACGTTTAAGTTGTCTCCTTTGATATCTTCATAATTATAGCTATCATGTTGCGGTACCAAATCTTAAATTTCTTCTTCGTAATTCACACATATTTGAAGTATTTCCTCTTTCAGGTAGTGGCCACACAAAGAACGATTTGTTGAAAGCCCAAATACACCATTCCCACGCTTCTACACTTTCTTCTAAAGCTCTCAGCTTTTGAACATTTATCCCCTATATTTCAGTGTAGGAAAGGCCTTAAAGCCAAGGCCCTATTATTTCTTGTCTGGTCAGTAGCTATAGTGGTCTGGTAAAGGCAGGTACAAACTGCTATAAGGCAAACTGTGATAGTACATTTCCTTCTGACTACTGAACTGTGCAAGCTATAGTGGCTTGTTTCAAGTGTAGTAGCTTGCAAATCTTAAGTGCTTACTATAGCTACATGTACATTGTAATTTGCATTTGGCAAGGCAAAAATTTAGCTATCTTCATCATCATTTTGGGCAAATCAACTGGACTAAGTCTTAGCTCTCCAATTGCATAAAAGAAAATCTCAGTCAGTTGTAAGCTTTGGGCTCCCATTTGCTGATTGGTTCTGAGTACAGAGTGTAGTGGTGCATACCTAAACCCACATTTAGGTTCAGGTCCGGATTCAAGTCCAGAGGTTTAGGTTCAGTTCCGGACTTGTAAGTCCGGACCTAAACCCATGGCAATTTTGTCTGGGTGAAAATTTGGCCACATAACATGAAGGCCGGTATTTGATGATGCCCGATGGCAATGTTTTCTTAATTTTGCAGCAAAGATTTTGCAATCTACGGAAGGTTTTAGGTGGTTTGGAAAAAAAGGGGTATGTGAAATGGTATTTTATGGTAATAAGTCCGGACTCGGTTCTTGACTTTTAGTTTTTTTTGGACTTGAACCTAAACATTCTTTAAGTCCGGATCCAAGTCCAGTGAACCGGTATGCACCACTAACAGAGTGTGTATTATTCTTGCACCTGCTACAGTTTATCTTCAAATAAACAACAGGGATGTAACTGAATGTTGCTGTTGATGTTTTCCCCCCTTTCAGACCCACTCAGATTTCTACGTCAGCGATGCAGGCCCCGAACGGACTTATTTCTAATCCTGCTAACGACCGTTGCTGTTTTCCGAGGCCCCCGATTTTCCACGCAGACCCTTTTAACGGCGTGCTTATGTGGTGTCTAAACGAGGGAGGCGGGCAGCGATGTTTTGGTGGGGGCCCCTCTCCCCAGACAACACAGCCGGGTCTGTGCTATTTCACCGGCACATTCTTGTGTGGAGACACAGAGTCTGCTGGGGCATCCGGATCCAACGGTGTTTCCACCCTAATGGAGTGGGAGAGGCTCTTGCGAGGGACGGGCCGCCGGGTGCCTTATGGCGCCCTCGATGAAAAACGCTTTCGATCAACGCTCGCAGGGCGTAAACTTCATCCCCGGGGGCATCGTACTGCGACCGACTGTAGCAGTTTTGACCAATTGTAGCGACGGATGGAACATATTGTAACGGAATGAAGACGTCTGCACGCTACAATGTCAAGTACCTGAACTTTTCAGAGGAGTTGACTGACGACGTCGTTTGCTTTGACAGAATTTCGCTTTTTTAGGAAACACATGCCAAAATACGAGCCAGACCATAACATTTTTCACTCAAACGCCCCCTCCTAAAGAGGTTAACTCGAAATAAGAAAGAGATGGTTCAACGTCCCTGGAGTTCAGGTGAAAAGGCACGAATTGTCTAGAGTATAAAGTCCACTTTTGCCTTATCTTCGATTTAGGGCCAGTCGTTTTCGCGAGGATTGGTACAATTGGTCCAAGTTGGCACTGTATCTTCTGTTGTTGTCAGAGCCTTAAATCTGGATTTGCCGTGTCATGCCTTAGTTCTGCCTCCATCAACACAATTCCCTATGATCTTCTGCAAAGAGACACAGCTGGGGTACAATGCTGCTACCTCTCAGCACAAGTACATGTACAGTAGCTTAATGGTGCAGCAATGCCTCCTATCTAGCAAACACAGAACTGCTGCTAAACTCACGAAAACAGTTACTCATGCAACTGGACAGATTTTGAAAACTGTCAGATCTTTCAGGTAGCATCTGCTCTCTTTTCATCGATGACTATCCAATTGCTTTAGTAACTGTTTTCTTGTGTATTTCATTACCTGGACATCTAAACCTTCATCGACTGCATTAATAACTGTAGCTATACAAACATACATTTTGGCACTGACCAGAGGTCTGGAGGTATTTCCTGATTCTTGTTTGTTACTTGGCCATGGTAAGTCTTTCAAGTTTTCTAACATCTAAATCAAACACTGAGTAATCTCAAAGCAGGCAGTCTGCATCTGTAGCGATGGTACTGCAGCACCACCTAGAGGGTAGTTGTAGAACTGCAGGCAGATGCTTGAATCTTGAACTTTACGAAGCCGTTTGCTTGGACTTCCAGAAATTGACAGCGATGTCAAAGTACTCCTGGGACAGCCAGAAACACTGCCGTGGGTTGATGTGGGCAGACCTGCAAAGAACAATAAAAACGTAAAGTGAAATAAAAATATTAAACACTTTTTGGATTGAATCTCATGGATGTCAGAAGTATGAAGTGATAATGGTCTGATCATGACTTTCAGTACAAATCATACCACAGTCAAATCATCTGACGTAAAGCCAGAGGTTCTGTGTTTGAGGACAGCCACAACTTGAGCACATTAAATTCCTTACTTTTCTAAAAAGAGCAGGGGTCCATCCTGGTGTGAGTGATACAAACCTTACAGTCCAGTTTCATCCAGCTTGTACTTACTGTACAAAACTGTTATGTTATGTCTCATTATACAAAAGAAACAAACAAAAAAACATGTCTACTTACGTTGTCCCATTGCAGAACTTCACCACCAGTTTCTGCCCGTTGGTTCCGGTGATCCAGCCGGGCAGGTAGACGAGGGCGACGGGGTCGGCCACGGCGAGAACACGGTCTCCCAGCGCCAGCGCGTGCCGCTTGGTGAAGGCTCCGAAAATGCAGGAGGAGCTCTGGACCTGCAGGGACTCGTCCGCCCACTGCACCACGTACTGACGGCCGTTACCTACTCTCTCCTTCACAGTTCCTGGGGGAATGAAGGAGTGAATGATTGAATGAATAGATGAATGAATGAAGGCTATGCAGGAGGAGCTCTGGACCTGCAGGGACTCGTCCGCCCACTGCACCACGTACTGACGGCCGTTACCTACTCTCTCTTTTACAGTTCCTGTGGACAGGGATGGATGGATGAATGAATTAATCAGTCTGTGTACCAGACACGTTTAAGTGGTAATAATCTGTATCAGTGGTCTATTTCAGGACTGCAAGTAGGACAAATCATTGCAAATCGAAATTCATCTTTCTGTAAAATTCAAATGTAGTATATACTTACAAAGTACATAATGACACTATAAACCATTTCTTTTTAGTTCTGTCTCTCTTTTCCCAATGGTTTCTTTTGAACTCAGTATGATTTAACACATCATCATGTTAAAGTTCTTTTGAAAACCCAGAGAAGAGAATATTTTGTTTCAAACAGTAATATAATTGTATTTTTTTTTTACCTAGTTTGCTTGCTGCACAAAGAGATCTTATTATACAAAACTCATTTGCAGATTTGCCAAATATTTGGATCTGCTGTGAGAACAACAAAAACAACCGCAGACTTACCCAAATGGTACGCTCCGTCGCTGTCGTCCCTAGCGACCACGGCGTGCCCCACCCAGCTGTCCTCACACTGCAGGATGTACGCCACGTCCTTCTCAAACTTCTCAGCTGTCATCTTGTACACCTCCTCACGTGGCACCTGGAATTGATTTTGTTGAAGAGGTTCATCACTCACATACAGTTTAACTGTTAGTAGTATTCATCAATCAGTGACTTTTTTAAAAGGTAGCAAACACGTACCTCCAAATTTTCATCGTCTACTGTAGGTCTTGCTCATGGAGTGACCTAATCTTGTGTTCTTGCGAGACTAGGTCACTCCATGATCAAGACCTATCACTATTATAGTGGATGTCAAAAATTTGGAGGTATGTGTTTGCTACCTTTAAAAACATTCACTGCTTGATGAATATTCTACTTAAAGCTATTGATTTGATTTGATTTATTGAAATTGCAACAGTACAACACACTGAAGACTGAAAAGGCCTGATTAAAAAGGGCAATGCATTGCAGGCCCTCAATGGTCTAAAGTTCTAGCTGAGAGAAGTTCTTAGTGTTGGATCTAAAGTTTTAACTTGAAACATAATGATGATACCTTAGCCTCAGCACCGTCGTAGTAGCGCACCACAGTCCACAGGTCAGGCAGGACCTCCAGCACCACTCCAGGAGCGTAGCTGAAGGAGTAGCTCGGGTGCAGGCCGATGATCGGGTCTCCAGACTGTCGGTCAGAGAAGGAATATCAGATCAGTATATGTACAGTCAAACCTGCCTAACAGTAAGTGGTCACCTGGCCTGTCCATTCTCTGATATCATCCTTCCATCTTTTCCATTGCCTATCTCTCTTTTTTCCTCCATGTACTCTATCTTGCATAATATTACTTATGGCCAGTCTTGATGACAGACATACTGCTTCAGTTTTCATTTCTTTACTACGGCCATCGTATGGAGTTTTGCTTGACTCTATTCCATACTTCATCGTTAGTTAAAAACCTTCGCACACACAACATCTCAATTTTTGGGCATCCCTTGGGCCACACATCTGTGCAAAATACAGATAATACAGGGGGCTAGTCCCGAGTGAGTGACTGGTGAAAGCACAAGTTTCATTTCACAGTAAACACCAGGCATTTTGTGCAGTAACTGTCTCACCTGTATGATGTTGTTTGCATCGTCCTCATCAGTGATGATGTCCTCCCTGAAGATCCTCTCCATGTCCCCCACACTGTCCTCAATGTAGTAACTGTCATCGCCCAGGGCTTGTTTCACCGTTCCTGCAGAATAAAACACGTTTGGGATTGTGTTCTCTATACAAAAGTGCCACTGACATTGGTTAAATATAGCGGGCGAGAAGCGGGCGAGAAGTCAGAAGCTCCAAGGAAGGTGTTTGATAGACACTGAAATGTAAGCAGGTGAGAGTCTTTTCTGGTCATGTAAACACAAAACCCAATATCTTGAGAAATTGGAAATTTCAGACTTCCAGGAAAGTGATGTTTCTTGTGAATGAATTATATTATCATGATCGTGGGGAAATACCAGATTAAATGATACATTATAGAATTGATTATTACTCATAAGATCATATTCCAATTTGTCCAGGCAATTGTCTCTAATAAAGTACTATGCACTGTCTTTGGTGATGGCCTCGAACACTTTTTGGATTCCAAAAATATAGAAAGTTGAAAAGTTTAAAAAGTGCATCCTTAAGGTAGTTGTTTTGTTATTACAGGAAGAAAATGCTGATATTCTAAAAAGGGAAAAAAAATAACGAAAATGTGAAGTTGAAAAAACAGTACAGGGATGCCCCCTACCTCTGTAGTACCATCCCTCGTCGGACCACCTGGCCAGAACCTCCTGCCCCGGCCCCAGCTTGGGCAGACTGTGTCTCGCCACGGCTGCCCTCTCAGCAACGACCTCTGGCGGCTTGCGTGAGAACAGCAGCCCTCGGTCACCCTAGAAAAGACAGCAATGGTTATGACAATGTGTAATCAAGGATGTTCTATCAGAAGGACTGACAACAACATTTCCTTTCTGCAATGTTCGTAGAGGGTGTGAAAATTTAATTCACAGGTCACCTGAGTGCCAAAGACACTCATGTGCATGAATCCCATGCCAGCGTGCTAGCATCTTCCCTTTGTAATCAAGGTTGTAGAATGTCCTTGGTGTAATGTACTCATGAACTAACAAGAGCCTACCTAACTCCTTATACATTTGTACAACAGTTACTACAGAAAATACAGATAAAGACATTCTCCTCATCAATGATATAAACTATTCTTTCAACACTTTCTGTATACTGGCAACTCTTTTAAATTACTATCATGGTTTATGTTTCATACCATGATTACACAGTACACATTCCTGGCGACCTCATACCGCATCTTACCACCCAGGGCATACAACCATGCCAATCAACTGAAACACAATCTCTGCCCACTCACTTCTGATCCTCAATACTCAGTACAAGATACATACAAACTCCTCCTAAACCAGGGCCACCCCAAACAATACTTCTGTCTTGAGAGGAAGTTCTTTTTCCTTACCTGAGTGACTAGGACTGACTCGTTGCCCTGTGGGTCCATGTGCATCGACACTTTCGTCTCTTCTGCCTCGCTTGCCTCCTTAGTTTTCTCTTCCTCCGTCTCTTCTTTCTTTCCCTCACTCTTCTGACTGCCCTTTGTACTGTCCTTGTCCTTGTCCTTATCTTTATCCTCTCCTTCCTTCTCTACATTCTTCAGCCACTCTTGAACTTTCTCATGTTTCTGATGACAGAAATTGAAAAAAAAAGCACAAGTGTTATTATTGCTTGTTAGGCCACACTCATCTAATTTGTTGGTTCTCGGATTCACCTCTCCATTTTTTCTTGATTTGCAGAAAAAAAAAAGATGATTCTGGTTCTGATATTTGGCCCCCAACAGTTGAGGAAAGTCCTTTTCTTCCTAGTTCTTACAGTTTTTCCATCTATCAATGAATGCAGTGGTTTGATTAAAAGTTAAAAATTTATTGTTTGAATATTAACTTAAAGTTAAACCCAGCCTTTTGTGTTGACAATGATTAATAATAATTAATGTTTTTCCTTAATCACACACAAACCTTGTTGATCTCATAGTATAGTTCATATGAGAGGAAGTACACGGATAGACTTACCTCCTGATCATTGTCCTCTTCAACGTTCTCTAAGTCACCTTCTGTTGGTGGCTTGTGATCCACTTGTGGTTCGGTGGCTTGTGATTCAGGTTTAGGCTCTGGCTCTGGTTTGTTCTTCACTGCTTCGGAGAGTTTCTGTAGTTCTTGTTGGATAGCCTAAGAAGGGAAAATCAAATCATTATAAATTCCAGTTACCAAATTGGTGGTTATGCATTCTGTATGTTTACATGATGTTCTGACTATACTATAGCTGCAGAAGAATGTGAACAATAGCTACACTATTGAAAAGTAGAGTGGCTGTCGTGGCTTGATAATGAACCTTGAAAGCAGCTAGCTACTTTACTTTATGCTGTAAATCTATTCTGGGAGGAACTAGCTGGATGGGTGGTTTTGGGTTGGTTGGATGGGTAGATGGGTGGGGTGGGTGAGCAAGTTAGTAGGTGTTTGACCGTCATTTGGGTGGTGCGTGGGTGCATGGGTGTGTTGACTGTGTTTGGCTTTGGCTGGAGGGGAGCAACTTTACCACTGGTCTTACCCAGAAGTCCAAATAGCAATTCTGGTAGAACTTCCAGAGGCGAGAACATTAGGGATGACAAAAGCTGACATGAGTATATAGAGATTCCTAACTCACATAAACTAATACCCTTCCACTTTATACCTGTAAGAATGGATTATCATTCATACAATTGTATGGCTTAACATATGGCATAACCAGTATAGTTTATGTTTGACCATGATTACAGTACACATTCCTAGCAACTTCACACCACATCCCACCTGCAGAGCCACAATCCTGTCAATCAAGTCAAACTCAAACTCACTTCCAATCCACACTGCTCAGGACAACATACATACAAACTCCCCTTAACACCACCCAAAACAATACTTCCATCCCAAAACTAATAATGAACATCCTTACCTTCTGTTGCTCCAGCTGCTGCTCCTGTTGCTCCTGCAGTTTCCTCTGCAGATCCTCCAGAGTCTTCTGGTGGCTCAGAATCTCCTCTATCTTCTCATCGCTGACCCTTGGTGTGGTGGGTTTGCATGCTCGGGAGGGTGTTCTGGAGCTGGACATCTCGGTGGACCCTGACTCAGAACCTGTTGGTATCCAATCGAAAAAGAAACTCTACTGATAAAGCCATTACCCTTGGTGGACGTACCAACCACTAAGTATCTGATACCAGCCCAGAAAAGAACAAGAAACAGTCATGCCTCAAATATCAGAGTTATCAACCAAGAATTGAGGTATTCAAAAACTTGTATTTCCCCAGAACTATTGAAGACTGGAAGTCGTTGCCACTAAACACAGATGGAGCATCATCACTAGAAAGCTTTAAACAACTCCTGCAATCAAATGTGCAAAGATTGAGTGTAACAAGCCGTTCGGTGTGATATAGCTAGCTGCCGCCGCACCGCGTGCCTGCGAAGCTGGTGTGTTACACCGAAGGGCAGTTATACTGGCTATACAGAGACAGAACCCTCAGAGCTCAGGACATGCCATGATGAAGCATGCTGTAGTAAGATTAACAGTCCGAATTGTGGCAAGAAAATTCTGTCTGTCCTTGGTGCTGAAAGTGGTATCCAATCAAACTTAAGTCCCTCATCGTGTTTTCTATGGTAACCAAAATAACCAATACAATTTTCTGGGTTTTCATACTTGTTTTCCTTTTTGTACAATATCCAGGAAAGAGATGTTTGATTTATTACTTCATAATATATACATACTTATATGTGTATAACAGTATAACATCTGTGTCCATAATATCACCAGGGTCCATAATATCGCCACCTTGAGAAATAGTGTGCTTAAAGATATTTTTACTGCAACATACTTTTGGTATGCACTCCTTCACACCTCAAATGTACATACCTAGGCTATTTTGCAGTAAAAACATCTTTAACCACACTGTTTCTCAAGGTGGCGATATTATGGACCCTGGTGATATTATGGACACAGATGTTACAATATGCAGTCTATGTGCCCAGAAGGCAACTGACATGGCTATGACAGGAAATTGAAGACAGGAAATGAGATAACCTTTTCTGGGACCTTTGACATCATTTCCTATCAGTACTGGTATCCCTGTTGTGAGTAGCATGTGGAAATAATTATGGAAACATAAGCAAAAACAAACATACAAACATACACAATAAAAACAAAACCTCCCGTAGCCACGTTTTTGAGTGTGTGTGTGGTGGGGGGGGGTTCTTCCCACAGCTTGAGGGACCAGCCTATGGCACAAGGTTCCTAGGGGGGGTCCGGGGGCATGCTCCTTCAGAAGATTTTGAAAAATGAACCTTCTGAAATGGCATCTCCTGCATTTTTGAGAGGATTTCAAAGAAAAAAATCAGAGATAACTTTTTATTCAATGACAAGGTAGGCAGTTTTTATACGATTCCAGCCCCTAAAAATCTTTGACCTTAAGATAAAAAGTGGACCAAAAAGTGGACCTTTGAGCCTTGTGGGGGGGTTGGTCCGAACACTCATGATACACTTAATACATGTAGGTAAAAAGTAACTCCAAACCTGAGTAACTTGATTCAGTCTTCTCGCTGTCTACTTTCTCCTCCTCAGAGCTGCTAGTCTCCACGTGTCCTGAGTCCTCGTTACTGATGTGTTTCTCCTCCTCCTCCTCCTTCACTGGGGTTGGCTGTCTCTGCACTATGTCTACACTGGGACTGTGTGTGTGGAAAAGAACAGGAAAATTTGTATCAGTATTCTGTATCTGTATCATTCTGTATCTGTATACTAGACTGTATAACCGCTCGTCGGCATTACACACCAGATAAGGGTGGTAGACTTCACCCCCTTACCCAGACTGCTTTGAAACCCTTCTCATCTTTGGGTAAATGTGTCTATACTGGGACTGTGCGGAAAACAACAGGAAAACAAGGCAATCAGAGATGGCAGACTCCATAGCCAATCCTGATTTGTCCCTGCAGTTCCAGTGCAAGCTGCTAGGGGGACCAACCTCAAGTTACTCCTTTCTTCACATCTACCACATAAAATTTGTGACGGTAGCATAGCCAGAACAAAAGATATCTGCTGCAGTACCATAACAAGCCACCATGTGTCCCAAAATCTGATCATTTCAAGGTCTCATGAACACCTACCCACCTACTAAATATCAACTTGACGACAATCCATGTAATTACGTAATGACAGTGTTGAAAACAAAACCCTGGTGAAGCTAACAAATAAGTTGACCCTCACATTTCATAGTTGATCTGCTGTGCATCCTTGATGTAACGACAGGCAAACACGTATCTGGACTTGGGGATCTTCATGATGCCCTTTCTCAGAGAAGTCACCTACGGGAGGGAGTGACAAACATTTAAATAAGAAAATAAATATCAAAATGTTAATTGAAAATAAGGAAGTTAACAATTGTTATCAGTATTTGCATATTGGGTTATTGTCAAAGATCAGTTACTCAAAATAGCGTAGTATTTAGTCTGTAGCTATGTAGAACTTCTGTATATTATCATGTAAACGATGTTCCATGTACGTTCCATGTATTTGATATTGTATCATCTTTATGAAACAGTATCTCGATACATACAACTTATAAGCATTACTGTAGACATTAGAGTTGATATCAGCTAGATAATTTATGTAGTGTACCTTTTCACCCTTGTCCTGCTGGACTTTTTTACACAATATTTTCAAGTAATTTGAAGTATTAATCTGGTTACAGACCCTTGACTTTTTTGCCCCGCGGTGGCGAAGTTACTTGTGCATTTGTTGCATTTCGCTGCGATGTGATGCGTTGCACGAGAAACACTCCCAAATCGTACATACACAGGCAACCCATATATATATATGGGTCCCGCAAGACAAGGGTAAAGAGCTTGCCATACATTGTACCTGTTACAATAAAATTGACTTTACTTGACTTTTTACTTTGCGAAGAAGCACCACCTACCCTTTTCTTGTCAAACTGCAGGATGGTGTAGAACTTGGCCTGTACCTCCCTTCTCCGAGGTGTCATCTGTACGATCCCCGGCACCCAGCACTCCAGGTCCTCTTCTGTGGTGGTCTTAACCAGCACAAAATCTCCAACCTAACAAATGGAAGAAGACTTCTGTTAGAATCAACAGCCTGTGTTTAGCATTCACGACCTTCCCCCGAATTCGTTCCTGAACACCAACCGACCAAGTTCGGCTGAAGTTCAGGAGTACACTGACCAGATTTTATATAGGAATTAAGATGAAGTTGAGTTAAATTGGACTCAAATTTGCCCCCCGGAACACAGCCTGAACAGACTAACAGTCTGAATTATGGTGAGACAATATGTACCTGTCCTTGGTGCTGAAAGTGTTATCAGCCTGTCAATAAGACTTGTGCCTGTACTGAGAAAGCCTTTACCAGTGTGATGTAAGCACGAGGATAACAGTCTGATATGGAGGGATATTCTGTGCCTGTCCTTGGTGCTGAAAGCATTATCAGCTTGCCAGTAAGACATGAAACTGTACTAAGAAAGCCCTTAGCCTTACATGTACCCTTAGCTCAGGGGCCTGACCACTGGAAGGCTTCTAAAAGCCTTGTGTACCAATCAGATTAACAGCAGGAGAGCAATTGTATCTGTCCTTGGTGCTGAAAGTGTTCTCAGCTTGTCAGTAAGACTTGTAACTGTACTCAGAAGGCCCTTTCCCTCAGCTCAGGGGTCTGGTTACTGGAAGGGCTACTAGAAGCCTTGTGTATTCATCAGGCTAAGAGTCTGATATGGAGCAAAAATTTTATGCCTGTCCTTGGCTCTGAAAGTGCTATATCAGACTTGGAGGTGTTGGTTATCAAGCTTCTACGGGCCTGACCAGTGAAGGCTTGTAGAAGCAGTGATAAAGTAATCAGGCTAGCAATATGACATGGAGAAAAACTCTGTGTCTGTCCTTGGTGCTGAAAGTGTTCTCAGCTTGGACTTGTAACTGTACTCAGAATGTTCTCTGCTTATCAGTAAGACTTGTAACTTACCCTGAGCTCAGGACATGCCCTGGCCCCGCCCATGGGGATGACAAATCTGGTGGGGGTGAGCTGCCTGCCGTTGCCATGGTAATCCACAATCGCATGTCTGGAGTTTGGGCACTTGACAACAATCCCTACGAGGTCAAAATAAGTGACATTTAGATTTGCGAGTCCTAGAAATTGTATTAAACATCTTTACAACTAGCTTTCTGCTACTACAAAAGGCACAGATAATACAATCTATGTGTGTATTGCTTCAGCCATCTATTATTTCTCTTGAGCTTATGATTTCCTTTCAGCTTCCCAGGCACACAGCGTTGCGGCAGCTGGCTATGTTACATCTAACGAGATTACACTTAACCTTTGCACATCTAACTGTTAGTGTTGTTAAAGCAATCTACGTGTAGCGACATGCCTATTCTGTACTTGGTGGATGCTACTCTACCACAGTTCTAGGTAAAATCAAAATACTGTACAACTACATAACTATATTGTGTTATATAATGCCCAAGGGGATGAAATTTTTTTTCTGCCACTTACCCCGTACTCTAGCTGGGAGGTTTAGCATGAGATTGTCCAGAGAGGCACAAGCAGGAGACGAGAGCACACAGAAAGCAACTTTGAGTCCGCAAGATCATGGAAATGGTAAATTCCTCTAATTTCACAACATTAAGCCATACAAGACAGAAGTAGACTGAAGAATACATCATAGCAAGGAAAAACAACTTGGACAACAGATACATGACAGAGAACATCAATATATAGTTGTTTAAGGAGAAAGCATTTTAGTGCATGTGTAAACAGTTATAGACATTTTAGGAAGACTTATATAGTATTTTAGGGAAAGAATCATATAATCAAAGAAATTTTTCATAGAAGGTTACATTATGAAGATATTCCCCTCTCGGACTAAAAAGTTTCTTGCTCTTACCAGGGTAATAAAATCCGTCCTCTTCTTTCCTCGCGATGACCTTATGACCTTTCAGTTTATCCAGTACTTTCTTCACTCTGTGCTTGCCTGAGCCAGGCGTGCTCTTCTCTCCACTGCCGCCACTCCCTTGTAAAACACTGCCCAAACCCTGCAATAAGTAAGACGGAGAAAGGGGTGAGTGACACATTTTGGAACAGCAAAATGACGTAAATGTATATTGTGTACATGAAGGTGATCATGCATATAACAATACTCTTAATATCATACACGTACATTTTGTATTGGCCTGTGTATTGTGTTATTTTTTTATTATCGCAAATTTATTGATATGGTTTAAGGTATAGACATGCTTAATTCACCAAAAATTGCACCAGTTATCTAACTATTAAATTTCTGATGTACATGTCTCATAACATGCAACATGGTTGTTTTTGATACAATATTATTTAGTTATGATCATGTGTGGCATTGTGCTTCTATGGGTTCTTTTCAACACAGAAACATGGTTGGGACAACATCACAAAATACCCACAACTTGTCAGTTTTTTTCATGCCAGTTGAGTATGTATAATGTGTACCATGCACAACAGAATTGTGCAGGTGCAATGACCCCATGTATATTTCTGTGCACCAATAGAACTCTCTTACCTTCCCCCTCAGCTCTTGTTTTCCACTTTTAAAAAATCTAAACACAACATATCTGAACTCCCGACCAGAATCAACACACATTTACACTTAGTAAATGAGTAATCCTTTCCTTAAGAAATCTGTTGTAGTAATATCCCCATTTGCTTTATTCTCTTGAGTCCTTTTGTTAGACAAGTGTTCAATCAAACATCACTAATGGGGAACCACAATAGAACTAAAGCAACAATTACATGCCTCATTTCCCGACTGATACTGCAGGCATTTGTTTTCCTTCAGGTTGCTTGGCAACCACAGTTGCTAGGCAACCAGCTTAGTGATGAAGAATCAACACTGAGTGCTGTCTATATAAGGCAGATGTAGTGTACACAGCATTACGTCCGGGAAAAGGCCCTAATGACAGTTTGCTACACCATGGACAAAGGGCTACACTTACAAGTCCAACATTGGAATGAATGGGGACATACCGCCTTGCTAGAACTATTGTTAATGTTATACAATTCTACTGTAACAGTATGATTGATGAAAGCAAAAAGGATAAACAAAGGTGTAACAAACAGACAAAACAAAACAACCAAGGTCTGGTCAACCTGCTATATCATTATCAACTGTAACTTTTGTTTTTAAGCAGAAACCAAAAAAAAAAAATGAAAGAAACTAAAAAAATTAATAAACAAAAATTATTTCTCTCCCTCTTTTGGCTTTTCTTAACAGCCAAAAATTTATGAAGGAAAAAAAACAAAATCAAATTTTAAAAAACCAAAAGAGAAAAAGGGACATGGCTACTTCCTGTCTAATTTCTGTCTTTATGAAGGTATAATTTTTAATGTAACACAATAAAGAGAGGGACTCCCGCAATGTGTACATCTGTTTATTTTACCTGTTAGTAAATATCTACACATTAGCAGCAGAATGTTAGTATTAATACATGTAGCACAGAAAATAGTTCCACATGCATTATATCTTAGGTAAACATGCTTTCTTTTACTGTACAATGACATATTTTAGCATGCTTTGCCGCAAGCAGAACATTATCTACATATGAGATTAAATCTCAGTTTTAAATCTGAGTTTTGGGTCATAAACCTTTGCATTACTACCAAGCATATGTAGAATAACTCACTAGTAGCCATGAAACATTTTCATGCCATTCTAGCAAATGAAAAGGGGTTTCAGTTCTTTCTGCAGTTTTTGCCCTAGTCTCTACGATAAAAAAGTAAAATGTACAAGTAGTCATGTCTCAAAAATACTGCCATGCATCATGCAAGCTTACAAAATACACTACAAAAAGACTGCATGTCCAGATTAACAGCACAATTATACACTAACAGTACGTAAGTAGGAAAAATCCTCTTTGCAAATGAGAGGACCAAAAATAATCTCTCCCAATTATTGCACTTCAATCTGATGTCATGACATGTGGTTAGTATTGAAATGGAGGACTGTGCATGTTTGAAGTAATGTCTTATAGAGCTCCTGTTCTCATGTCACAATTTAACTTGTGTTGTCATCATTAAGGAGCAACTTCTGCAGAGAGCAGAAAAAATTGTTTTGGATTTTGTGTAATCCCTTAATTTCAATCTCATATGAGGCTCAACTAATCTCTAGAACATCATGCTTCCATGTCTTTAGTCACTGTGGTAGTCATGTCCTGATACCCACAGTGAGGAATAATGTTATTGGACTGAATTCATTCCTTGAAATGTCCAACATGTTTAACTTCTGATTATAATATATAGGTTTCTTTTTAATCTCCTGCAAATATTGTGAATCAACAGTAGTCAAAATTATCCTGATATCATATTATAAGTCATGCAACAGCCTTTTCTTGGCTCGTAGATCTTAGAGCAGTTTGGGAATCTACTGTAAATGCATTAACTACTCGTTAAAGTATCTTGATGATGTAAGAAAGTTATGTTTCCTTCTGTACCTCAAACTCTGTCCTGCTGCGCTCCGTCTCGTCTCCAGCCTCCACTCCAGACGTCTCCGACGCCATATCATCCTCATCATTGCTGCCATCCTCCTCCTCAGTTGTGGACCGATGCAGCTTCTCAGCGGCCTTCCTGAGGTCCGTGGACTGGCGCAGGTACTTCTGTCCCCGGGCGATCTCGTCTTCCAACAGCAGGATGTCCTGTTGTGCGACGGGCCAGCCCAGCCGGTCCAGGGCCTGCATCATCGCGTGGCGGTTCTCAAGGAACGACACGGCTTCTTCGCTGTCAAACCTGGAAGGTAAAATGTATTTATTGAGATTTACCACATTAGTGATAGGATTGACATAACAGGTGACTATCACCTCTTCAAAGTGTCAACCTCAGACACCTGAAAATTGTAAGGTTTGCATTTGTCAGACGGTTCTCCAGGAACAACAATGGCTTCCTTGCTCTCAAACCTGGGAGGTGATTTCCGAAAATAATTTTTCAGCATGTTGGTAGAACATGGGATATTGGAGTTTTCTTTTACACAACGAGTAAAGACTCTCGCCTGCTTATGTTTCAATGCCTGTCAGAAACAACAAGAAGCAGTACTCCAGTCAGTAGATTTGAGGAAGGTGTCTGAGAGGCATCAAAACGTAAGCAGGTGAGAGACTTTATTAGCTACTACTACTAAATTACTACTGGGGAGTACAGAAATTTGGATAGTAAAAAGGATACTTACTGGTCTCTTTCCTCTTGCGATAGATTCCTCCACACTATCATGTCTAATCTCCTGAAAAATAAAATACAAGGCAGTACATTTTAGTAACAGGTTCTTTGAAGATAATACAAAGCATCTGTCAGAAAATGTAAAAGCAAAACAGTTTAAACCACAGCAAAAGTTTCTCCATAATACAGATATCTTCCTTACTTTTTATAAGAGTCCACAGCCTTCTGTAGTCTCTCTTCATAGCCGACCAGGTCCACAGCTTGTGGGTTCACCAGACGCAGCTTCCCAGTGCTGGATGCGTGGGCTATGGGGAGAGACTGAAGGGAACAACATGGTTCAAAGTCAATGTCAACATTCTTGATCCAATACCATTAACCCAAACATACAAACCCCCTAACCAGTGCCACCAAAACAATACTTCTGCCCTGTATTAAACAAAAGTACATGTGTACCTAATGCATAGAACTATATTCTACTATGATCATAGTAGAATGTAGATCTATGCATTAGGTAGTCTTTTTATTACCAGGAAGGAAGTATTGGTGGAATAGTCAGTGAAGTTAAGTCATACAAGTGTATGGAAATGAGTGGGTGGAGATTGGGCTTCAGTTGATTGACAGGGTTGTGACCTGGTATGCCCTGGGTTTTAGGATGTATTATGAGGTCTCCAGAAATGTGTACTGTGTAATCATGGTATGAAACATAAAACATACCAGAGTAAGTTATGCCATACAATCATATGAGAAATAGTCCTTTCTATGACGTAATTCATGACTTTGCTTGCATAATATGCTTGCATACTATTAGAAAAATTTAATGGAAAATTTAATGGACAGTTTTTCCTCACATAGGAACATTTTTGCTTACCTCGTCAAAGACCTTAGACACCACATGCTTGTCCAGGATAGGCACATATTTGGCCTTGTGGGGGATGACCGTGGGCGCAAGGGCATCCATGATGGTCAGTTTCTTGGCCACCAGGCCATGCTTCTTCAGCCACTTCTTGGAGGACATGTCTAGTGGGCTGCAGAGACAATCATATTTAAAATTGATGAAAAAAAGAAAAAACATCTTAGCTAACAGAATCTTAGTTCTTCATCTAAACCATACAAACAAACTAAGCAACAAAGAACTGCCAAAAAGTGGATAACGTACTGTGATGGTATGATTGCTTTCCTCTTCTTTTTCCTCTTGTCCAGTATTCTGTCTGCTTCTGTTGACAGCAACAGCAACAATAACAAAAATTAGTCTTACATGGAAAGAAATTTAAAAAAAGAGAGGTCAATCTCCTCAGTAATGTATTTAGAAATACCAAATAGATCTACAATTTTTTTTACCTCTTTACATTCTTCGAACATGAGTTTGCAAATGTTATTATATGAAGTGTTGTACTACTAACCATCCAAGGACTCCTTGTACTTGACCCACTGCCTCTCGAACAGTTCTTTTGTCTCCGGCAGCATCCAAGTGTTCCCTGAGCCGCTGAAGCCCTGAGGAGTCATGGACATCGCACTCATGCTGCGCAACAGGCTGGTCTTTGTCTGGCCTGGATGGAAAATGACAAACAACAAGGGAATCATTAGACTTCAGCTCCCTTACCAAAAATGTAGTTATACCAGATATACAGATACAGAATGTGACCATTCCAGTCCCACAGACAGAAAACAATAAACTCTTGTCATATTGAGACACAGAGAGACTGACAAAGAGACACACAGACAAACAAGCCGATAACAATACTCCACTCCCTTGGACAAAGGTATTAAATCCTTTTCGTTTGCAGATTTCAGAAGTTAAAATCACCAAATATCTATGGTAGCTGCATGACAAATACATACTTTTGTCACTTTAGTTAACAAAACAACAAAATCATGACTAAGTTTTTTTAGCAGAGAGAAACATCAGTACTTTGTCAGTTGCATTACAGTTTTGGCAGTTAATCTGCTTGACCTAAATGTTACTGAACGAGTAATATTTGTTCCAGAGTTAGAATAATGCAGCCACATTTTAGCTCTGGTGGTTTGCACAACCCTAGAGTTCAGACATTAGAATCACCAAACACGTTACAACTGAACCTACCAGCGAACAGAGGTTTCTTCTGCAGGTCGGAGGTCCTACTCCTGGGCCGTCGCGGCGTGTGTCGGGCGTGGCTGTGGCCGGCGTGGGCCGGACTGCGGAAACCATTGGCCGTCCTGGGGCGGGGGGTGACCCTGGGGGAGTGGCTGGGGGTGGGGGAGAACCCCAGGGCGGTCATGGGCCGTCTGCGGGACCCTGGTGCGGAGGAGGGGCGGTGGGTGGAGGGAGGGGTGGGGCCGGACGAGGAGCGGGAGTGGTGGGACCTACTGGAGCTGGTGGAGGCTGAGTCTGGTCTCTGGTTCCTACAGACAAGAAATTGGAGAAATAGGTATAGTAAGTAAATTATATACAAATGGATTATGTCCTAGAATGGATTGTTTTTCAGATGATTGTACAAAGAAGAAGACATCAGAGATTTCAAACTTCTAGGTAGAGTAGGTAAAGTTTGTATCACTGAATTACATCACAGAATGGATTATTACTTATATGATTGTAAGATGTAACTTTCTATTACACCATGGTTTTTGTTTCAAACCATGATTACACATTCCTGGTAACCATAACCTACAACACAGATCGTACCTGGTCACAACCGTGTCAATCAACTGAAACCCAATCTCTACCTACTCACTTCCATAGAATTGAAAACAACCTTAGTTTTACTGTTGTTGTAGATCATGTATACTGTATGTGGATTACAATCTTAAATCCTAATAGAAAGATATTTCATAGTGAATGCCAGCACACTCCAAAAGAAAGAAGCCTTCTCTGACCTGATAGCCTTGCTGCCGGAGTTCTTCCAGTCCAACATTGCACACTCGTCCCTGAGCTGAGCCACCTTGGCCAGGTCACTCTTGGCCCGTTCTATCTCCTGTTTCAGCAGCTGGATATCCTCACTCTGGAAAGAGAAGCAGAATATTGCAACATTTGCTTTTCAACATTAGGCCATACAGGGCCGGAAATAACATTTGCATATGTAGGTTAGTGCGGGTATAAAAATGATTGAAGCTGTGCAGGTATTTCTGATGTCTACCTGCACCTATCCTGCACTGGTCCATCCACTAGGTTTATATGTAGGTGTATGCTGATTTTTATTTCTTTCATTGACTGTTACCACCTATGGAGTGTTAAAGTAATAATGCAATGTTTCTGAACAGTTTTAGTATGATCAATACTTTTAGTATGATCAATACTTCCAAAATTCTGTGGTGCAGGTAAAATTTGTCTGGTGCAGGTAATTTTCAGACAAAGATATGTACCCAACAATAAAATTCATTATTTTTGTTCTTTCACATCCTCCTGGACTTTGGAACACTTGGTAGTGCATGCAAGTGGTAATTCTAGCCCTGCTTCCAGTGAAAATTGCAAAGGAAGGCAAGTGTTAACAACACGGTGGGTTCAGCACCAAGGAGAGGGACAGGTGGGATTTCAGCACCAAGGTACATGTAAGTTGTTATGGGTGTGCTTGTGGACAGTGGATAGTGGCTTACAAAGTGGGTAGTTCTTCTTGTAGACATCTGTGACAGTTTAAAGCTTTAGAGAATTACACTCCTGCCTGCTATCTGTGTAGTATACATAGTGAATGTCACTTGTGATAATACGTGATAAGACTTGATTACAAGAAATTGTTTTTGTACCACAGGTTCCTTATCAAAGGCAACTTTTCCCTTTGCCTGATACTTTTCAGTGAGCATGAAAGAGGGAAAGAAGATTGAAGTCAATACATAACAAATTTAGTTCATTCATATACAATGGTTTTTATGTACATGTACTTAGAATAGTGTTAATACTTGTTGTGTTGTCCATATAAAACTCCATTGTAATGTCTTGTCTTTGTCAGCAGGGCTAGCCCTTTGCAATAGTGACAGGCTAGTTCGGCTGCCCTGGCTGTGTGTCCTGAATAGCTAAACCAAGAACTAGATAAGTAAAGTAAACAGAGCACTTAGGTGCACCTGTTCCACCATGCCCTCCATGTACATAATAAATAAATAAATAGATAAATAAATAAATAAAATCCCACCTCAAAAGGTTCTGGTCCCTCTGGGTCCCTCCCGTCGGTGGAGTAGTAGTGGTATCTCCCGCTGGTGTCATGTGACATCTGTGCCAGGAAGCGGTTAGCCTCGATGTCGTCACAGTTGAAGGAGATGGTGTGGATGGGCACCTGTGGGTGGAGCTGCACCTGCGCAAGGATTGTCTTCGGTAGCTGGAAAGAAACAACAACTGTTACAACAACTTTGCTTCACTCTACCCGTTTGTTTCACCCTCTCAAAGCCTCCTCAAGTTGATCTCACTCTCCAACAACTTTGTTTTACTATCCTAGTTGCAAAATTATCTACGTTATGTTCAACTTGGAAAATGATTAGGAGACCCCTACATTGCTCATCATCATATAATAAAGCCACCATAAAGGTAAGTGCATGTACAGTGACTGTGCCTGTCCCTACCTGATCCGGCCTGCCATCCGTCAGCAGGTATATGGCGTGTGTGTTGTGGTCGGCCAAGGCAAGGCGGATGGCGGCGAGCGTGTTCGTGGTTCCCCCCGCCGTGAGACCTTTGACCCACTGCCAGGCGTTCTCCAGGTTTTGTTCGTTCACGTCCGCCAGACGGTCTCGCCACGGGAGCGCCCGCGTGTCGAACTTCACGATGTTGAACTTGGCCTTGTGTCTTAGTTGTTCCTAGTTGGAAATGAAAAACAAGATTTAATTTAGAGTTAAAAACAAATTCAAAACATACAGTTTTATACCAATATGAGCTCAGATTCTTTAACACTATGGAAGTAGATAGTGCCTTATTTGTTCCTTGATTAGTAGAAGGCTTGTAGAAGCATGATGAAGTAATTAAAAAATCCAGTGTCTGTCCTTGGTGCAGAACGTGTTATCAGACTTAGAGGTGTTGATTATCAAGCTTCTATGGAATAGAACTGCTACAAGTGTAATCAGTTTAGGAGCCTGACCAGTGGAAGGCTACTCAAAGCATGATAATGATTGCCAACAATGCCTACTACATTTGATATTCTAAAGTTCTAATGATTAGTCATTTAAAGAAGATACACATGAACAGGTAAAGATGTGTATTTTTACCTGCATGAGCTGGAAAAGCTTCTCCTTGACGAAGGGGAGCCTATCCCTCATGGACTCGGATGTGTCAATCAGAAGGTAGACCTGCTCCTCTATCACTGTACCGAACAGCTCACGACTGCCCTCACGCAACCAGTCAATCCTGGAAACAACACTTCATTTAGTCACATATCTTTGAAACATCCAAGCTTTTCAACATTGAAGATATTGTGTAAAATATGTTAAACTTTACAATTATACATATTGGTATGGCATTTGGGTATGGCATTTGAAATATCACAAAATTCAATACTCCAATATCACACCATGGTTTATGTTTCATACATTCCTATAGCAACCAAATCATTGACCATACCAGGTCAAAACCTTGTCAATCAAGTGAAATCAAATCTCTGCCCTCTCACTTGAAAACCCAAATATACAAATCTAGCAATAATTAGTGCCACCGAAAACAAAAATTCTAGATTATACATTTAGCAAAATATTGCCATTTTGGAACCCAGACAAACAAAGTTTTTAACCCCTCATAACCACCCAAAACCATACTTCCATCCTAGAAGTAACAATATAAGATCATACATTACCTTTTCTGTACTTGCTGCACCACAGTGTTGACCCTCTGTCCGTAGTGTCTGTGGAACTCTGGAACCCAAACATACAAACCCGCCCTTAACCACCCAAAACAATACTTCCATCCCAGGAGTAACAATAACATTGCACATTACCTTCTTTGCACCTGCTGCACCACAGTGTCAACCCTCTGTTCGTAATGCCTGTGGAACTCAGGAGTGACGTGCACATGGACCACTGACCCATCCTTCCAGTTCGTGTGGGCAAAACGGTCACAGTACTTTGCATTGACCAGCTTGTTTTTTGTGTCCTAAAACATCAATCATACACATTCATTATTGATCAAATAAATCACATTAAATGTGCTATTTATAGTCCTACAAGACTAAGGAATGCCAACTGATTTTCCTGCCTACAATCAGTGCAAAAATTATTGGTCTGGAGAAAATAAATTTTACTAACAAAATGTTAGAAGTTTCTAATTAGTAAATTGTTTTACTCCAACTCTAACACCAGTACAGATTTTTGTAAACTAGTAATTTACCAGTATTATGAATTTCAAAGTTTTTATTTTCATCCATTGAGTTTAAATAAAATGTCTTTTCTGATCTATTCACCAAAAGGGAAATATAGCGATTACACGACATGTTGAAACTATGCATCCACGCATGCATCCATGCAAGCACTGGAGATAAAGAAAAGTCTGAATGTTACGCAGCTGTTACAAATAATCATATCATGAAAGCAAATGCCACTGTGACAGTACATAGTTATTTTATCATCATGAGTATCCTAATCACATGAACATGAATCAATTCTAGAAAATAAACTCCCACTTACAGCGTCAGTTTGTGTGTTGGGGTCTCCAGGTTTTTTCTTCAGTTCTATGACCCCATCGCTGTGTTTAAAGCAGCAGCCAGAGATCACATCGTAGAAGTCCAGTCTTCTCGCATCAACACCGTAGTTCTAGGAAAAAACATACAAGATAAAAATAAATGTCCAGTATTACACCATGGTCTTTGTTTCATACCATGATTACAGTCAGTACACATTCCTGGTGACCTCATACCACATCCTACCACCCAGGACACACTGGGTCACAACCTTGTCAATCAACTGATACCCAAATGACATTAAAAACCCCCTGATCTGACCATATTTACTCCATAAAATTGTATGTGTGTGTGTACAGTTTTATGGAGTAACTATGGTCAGATCAGGGTTTTTTCAATGTGTGCAGCTTGGCATTTTAGGGTCTGTTTGTATGTTTTCCATGTCATTATTATTTTTTTAATCGAAGAACTAGCAAAGTAATTTGTTATTTCATCATGGCATTTTGGTAAGTATTCCATCTGGAGTACCCTTTTCAATTTGAATATGTTAAAATAGACTAAGCTGGCAACCAGTGTATGAAATTGGTATTGCCTGTTACTCACATGTGATGGCATGCACCCATTTGCCACCTGAGCCAAGGGTTTACAGCTGCGTTCCTTTATACTCTAAGATCTACTCAGAGATTAGACCATCAAATCTAGCATTCATCAATTATTTATAGCCATTGACTGTAGTAGGAGTGGTCATTGGTTGGTCTTTTGTCAAAGGCCAAGCCAAGGCAATGGATTTTGATATAATTTGCTTTCACATATGAATCTGCCGGCAAAGAAAATCAATAAAGTATCTATTATTGATATATGTTAACATTTCTGACTCACACACAAGCTTTCTTTTTTATAGAAGCTTGAAATAGGGTTTACAAGTCTTAGAGTTTATTAAGATTTTTTTCCACTCAAACCATCATTTTACGAACAAGATGCATTTTTTTTCAAATCCAGGAACCAACAAATCTAATTAGTAGTAAGAGTAGCCTGACATAAAAAAGATCATGCAAGTTTGGAACAATAACTTGAATATAGTTACAGAAATTCTATTCGGCACATGGTAAAGAATAGAAAAGATTGAAGATTCATAATCTTACCTCTAACCACTCTTTTGATCCCATGTACTGTTCACTCTTCACTTTAGGTCTTGGTTTCACTGTGGCTGAAATAAACAGAGAAAAACACACACAATTATTATTGAAAGGTCATAACCACAGCCCTTTATTTGTTGACAAGGTCACAGAAAGACTGCCACGTATACTGGGGGTCTGAATAGCGATTTGTACAGTAAAACCTTTGACAGAAAAGTCTTTGACAGAAAACTCTGTGGCCAACTGGCTTATTACTTGATGTTGCTAGACATACTTTAGTATATACCACCAGATCACTATCTGCCAATGAGCTTAGTATATAAAGAAAAAACTGCCTGGTGTCACCTTGATCAAACCATCTGACTGTTTTCTTGGCTGCCATTTTCAATTGATGATAACATACGACACTGACAGCCTACCCCATGAGTTAATCAGGGCTAAAGATTGTGAGTGACAGTTGCCGGGGGCAACGGGAAGGCACTGTCTCATTAGAGGATATTTCCTTTCATGTGGGAAGCGCCCTGGCTCTGTGGCAAAAACCTTGCATGTCAAGGGGAGATTTCAACATTGCGTGTAACATTTGGGGCTGTCCCAAAGACACTATTGAAGGATGGATACAAACATATTGTAAGTAAAAAAGTAAGATCTTTCTAGGAGAGCTGTTCAAGAGCGAGACATTGTAAGCACTACCTTACTTGAATCAGAAAAAAATGTAAGCTATTCTCAATGGATCAATCTACAGTAGAAGCTCTATTTGAGACAGTAAGGTCAAAAAACCTTGCATGTAAAGGAGAGATTTAACATTGCGTGTAACATTTGGGTCTGTCCCAAAGACTGTCAGTATTGAATGACGGATACAAACATACTGTAAGTAAAAACCCAAAAATGTTTCTAGGACAACTATTCAAGGAAGACACATTGTAAGCACTACGTTACTTGAATCAGAAAAAAATGTAAGCTATTCTCAATGGATCAATCTACTGTTGAAGCTATATTTAAAACAGTAAGGTCAAAAACCTTGCATGTCAAGGAGAGATTTAACATTGCGTGTAACATTGGGGCCTGTCCCAAACACACTATTGAAAGATGTCAGACGGATTCAAACATATTGTAAGTAAAACCCAAAAAAAGGTATGTAGGACAGCTATTCAGGACATCATTAACTTGCATCAGAAAAAAATGTAAGCTATTCTCAATGGATCAATCTACTGTAGATAGCTGAAGCTCTATTTCAGACAGTAAGGTCTACTATAGCCTAGTAAGTGCAAGCTACATTTTCTATGGCTGTTAATTACTAGCAACAGACAGAAAAATTTCTGCTAATAGGATAATCAGCACTGTATTATCAGATCATCAAAGAGCTATTCACAGCAGGCACATGTTTTTGACAACTGTCATTAACATGTGCCTGAGGCAACGTGAGCTTTCAAGCCTCCTTGGGCCAAAGTGATAATTAGTATTCCTGGCTTGACATGCAGGGCTCAAAATACTGGGTGCATGTGCACCTTAGTGTACCCAAATTTGGAGCTGTGCACCCAATTTTGTTCTGTGAGTGCATCAGTGCAACAAAATATTTTCGTAGTATGTAAAGATATTTAATATAAAGCAGTATGCAGCATATTCTTAACATCCAAGTGTCAGAAAGACAATAAAATCATTGTTATAGTTACCTTTCTTTAGAAAGGAAACATTATTAGTTTTTGCTGATATTCTACTTATTTGATGTTATATGGTACACCCAAAATAATTTTTGTGCACCCAATCTGCACCCAAGCCCTGACATGTGTTTCCAATCTATCTTATGCTAAAAAGTGCTTATGGCCTCTTCATAGAATCCTCATACATGGGACACAAATGGGGTTCAAGCATCATTAACTGTTACCTTTTGATATCCATTTCAGTTTAGATTGACAATTTTTCAAAATCAGTAGAAACATACACTCGACACCAGTACAAAATATTCAAATGTTTTCTCACCATTTTTCTTCCTTTCATTTGCCTCCACTTTGCATTGGAAAAAACACAGCATTATGAAATATTTTTGTTACTTGTTGCTATATTTAAATTGTTGCTATATTACAATTTAGACATCAGAATTAAAGTTCACTTTATGACACAGAAGTAATGTTACCTTTTTCTCTGCCTCTTCTATATGCTTCGGCTTCCATGTAAAGGCATTGACAGAATAACAGTTGTGTTAGGACTGATTCAGCACTAAGGACAGAGCCTACAGTGTGCTGATTCTATTCTGCTGTGGATATCCCTATTTTGAATCAGTTTAGGAGAGTGCAATGTAATGTCTTATAATGTAAGGGGTGCTGCTTATTAAGTGATAAATAATGTTGATTTGGGCTGTGTAATTAGCAGAGAGAAGAGCTCATACCTTCAAGAAGGAATTTATAATAATTTTGTGTATCTGAGTTAAGAAAAGTAGGAAAATGTTATAATTGCTGTTAGGAAATGTGCTGCTTTTTCATGTTGGAAAATTGGAGTCATTGGATTTAATTACCAAGCATTTTTATTTCTACTAAATTCATGCTTTAGTGTTTAGATTATTTGTTCATTATTGATTGTCATATGATTGTCATTATTATTAGTCTCTGTTTATCTTTAAATTATTTATCAGCTTCTTTTATATGATGTAAAGTCATGCATTTATGCATTATTTGTATCTTTTTTTCTTTCATTTTCTCTTTATATGTTCTGATGTAAGATTGTGAAACTGAATAAAAAGTGTAACATCTGTGTCCATACATGTAATATTACCATAGTCCATAATATCCCCACCTTGAGAAATAGTGTGCTTAAAGATATTTTTACTGCAACATACCCTAGGTACGTACATTTGAGGTGTGCAGGAGTGCATACCAAAAGTATGTGGCAGTAAAAATATCTTTAAGCACACTGTTTCTCAAGGTGGCGATATTATGGACCCCGGTGATATTATGGACACAGATGTTATATCACTCATCAGGGTTGAGAAAATTTGGAAATGTTAAGTGCTTAAGCATGAGATTATTTGTTCATTATCATTGATTATCATATGGATTGTTATATCATAGGTTTCTGTTATCTTTGAATTATCCAACAGTTTCAGTTAACTTAATTTGTAGTATGTACATTTTAATAGGTAATATTTTGATCTGTGGGGTGTTTTTTTTTAAATTTTTTGTTCTGTTATTTCTTTTGTTCTCTCTTTATCTGGTACATTACAATATGGTTGTGAAACTGCAATGAAATGCTTTAAAAAAAATTGTATCTTTCAGACTCACCCATCTGTGTCTTGGGATCAGGAGCCTCCTGAATGAGCACCTGCACCTCAGACAGGGTGTTCCTGGCCTCCTCCAGTTCTTCAAACAGCTCGATCACCTCCGGTCTCACGCCTGCACCTGGGGGGACTCCACCGATCGGCGTACGGCCTTCCCGCAGAGTGAACGCATGAAACCTAAGAGTAGAATGATATTGGTCATTATAATCCTGGTGGTAAGGTAGTATTCTGGTTAGGGTTGTTGACTTAGAATGCAAACATTCTGGGTTCAAATCCCTAGCAGACCCTATGCTATACCTAGAGCACTTGACATTTTCTTACAGTTTACATTTCCTCACAGGTGAGAATTTAACGAGAGACACACCTCAAGCACATTTATAAGATCCCACCACGCTAATAAAAAAATTAGGGGTTCATGCTAGTGTGAGTGGTTCAAACCTTACAGGCCTGTCTTTTGTAGCTTGTACTTACTGTACAAAACTGATGTGTTATGCCTAAGGGCAGTTTACTGACTACAATGTATGTGATACAAACAAAAAAATAACTATAATAATTACACGCACCTTCCCCCTGTGAGTTTGGTGAGGTCCCTGAGGAATCGTGTGGTGTGTTCGCTGGTTGCGTTGAAAGAGACGATGTGCAGAGGGTAGCGATGTCCCACCAGCTTCTGTCTCAGGAGGTGCTGTGTGTCATTAGACAGGTCCCCCTCGTAGAACAGGTAAACTGCTTCAGCCTGCACCGGGGAAAGAAAATATGATAAATTAATGACGTATAACCTTAAAAATTGGCTCCTGTAGTTTAAATGAAGCCAAAACCTACACCAATTCTTTGCGTGGCCAAGAGCTACCTGCCACACATGCCCAGAAACAATGTTCATAGAACAGGTACACTGCTTCAGCCTGTACCAGGGACAGAGAATATTATAAATTAATGACTTATAACCTTCAAAATTGGCTCCAGGACCTGTAGTTTCAATGAAGCTGCTAGTGGGCCAAAACCTACACCAATTCTTTGTGTGGCGAAGAGCTACCTGCCACCCATAAACCATGTACGTAGAACAGGTACACCCACAAGTGTGATATAACCTTCAAACGTTGTCCAAAAAGATTGGCCCCTTAAGCTTCAACGTTACACCAAAGTTCTACACATGGCCAAGAACTACAGTACCTGTCACAAAAAAAAGATCATGACTCTAGCATGTTTAGTACACATTCAAGATGTTCTGCTAATGTTTTAAATTGTGCACGACAAAGCAGTCTTCTTATTCCTTGACAACTTGGGCCTGTTTGTCAATGATGACCTTGTTGACTTCCATGACAGTACAATAAAAGATATTAATCATTTCATTGTAATGTTACTCACGTTTGGATCATTCATGGCCCTGATGACTGACTCCACAGTCGAAGTTTTGGACCTCCCTGCCATCCTGTCTACCTGCTCCAGCCACGTCAGCGCAGACAGTCGACTTTCAGCGGAGTACGGGATGGCTCCTCCAGGCTGCCACACACTCAGGTCCTCCTGTGCTCTGAAAGGTTTATACATTCAAATATTTCATTACTTAGAATTATACTCTTATGAAATAAAGACTTTACTTCCAACACTTAGATTACAGAATTGAGACTTACCCAATTTTAAATTTACCCAAATGGTAAGTCAGGGAATTCTGTAATCTAAGTGTTGGAAGTTAAAGCTTAGTCTTTATTTCATAATGACTTGTACCAACACAGATGAACTTTCATGCTAGAATTACTCTTGCTACACCAGAAATCAGAACTTTGAAAATATAAAGAACATTAAATTTTACTTTTCCTGGTTCTGTATACTGCCCTTTTCCTCTGTTTCTATAGATTAGGTCACATTGGTTTATCTTTTCTGGCTCTTGAGACATCCTTTAGCCAAAAAATTCAGCAAGAGGTAAAGATGAAAACAGAGGACTGAGAATTGACACTGACAATATAACCTGATACTGTATGAAAAAAACACAAATTCTTTCCCCAGACTCTGCTTTCATGTTGATATTTCACTTAAGCATTCTTTTTTAAATCTTAGAATAAAAAAATTAAATTGGTGTGGCATTTCAGGTACACCACGTGAGGTTCTGTCTTACCTGATGAGGTTGAACTTGGCAACATTTGCTATCTGTTCGTTGATGACTCTTCTGATGATGTCCCTGCAGATTTCGAACTCTGCGGGGTCCATGGTCTTGATGTCCAGTACAAGAACCACACAGTGTTCCTGGATAACTCCAAACGTACGCCGGCTTTCGGACGTCAGCCATTCCAGCCTGCGCTTGTACAGGGTGATGGCCTGCATCAGTCTGCTCTCTATCTGCTTCAACTTGTCTTTGCCGACGGTCACCTAGGTGTAAATTTAAAGCAAATGCATCAGTTACGACTACTGTACTGTCTGTTAAATCTTGACATCTATGCAGTGGTTTTACCTCCCGGTAGGAGGGAAATGGTGTTTTTTGCTGTGTTTTAGATTTGTGGGTAAAACAATTCTGTTCAGCTGTATATTTACAACTACTGTAAGTCATGAAATTTTTGCGGTATTTTTTTTTTTCAGTAAGAAGGAAAAGGAGTTTTCATGGTGTTCTGAATTTGGTGTTAAAATTTGCACAGTTGAAACAATTCTGTTCACTAGTAATATTGTACATAGAATTTCATATATTTTGCCTTAAAAGTTAAAAAAAAGTAAAACACGATTTTATTGCACTCAACCTCTAGTATTTAGGAGCATGAGTATAAAGAAAAGTGAACTTGACATTGACTTACATTGAATGTTTTGCCGTCTTTTCTGGGGAACCTCTGGAATAACCCTTCTCCATACCTGGAGCTCACCGGCTTCTTCAATGAATAGTCATAATCTGAAATGATAATAAGGAAGAATAATTCTGTAAGTGGCAACATAAACAGATATGGATCTCAATAAACTATTTTTTTTTACTTCATGAATATTGTCTTTGTTAGGCAGAGACTTTTGATACAAAATTACTTCATCGCTACCCTCTGCTTTTTTAGTTATGGCTACTTAATCATCATGATGTAAGAATATACTATGTAGCTTTTATAAAAATTAAAAAATGACGTCATTTTTTGTTGGTACACTGTAATATTGAAATAATTCAAATTGAAAAAGAAGTAATGACATGACCTAGAATTGTTATTTTATTGTAACAAAATCTGTTGTTTATACTAGACACTATTAAAATCTTTGTCAACTACAAATGTGGCTCAGAAAAACCTAAAAAGCCTTTAGTTTGGAGTAACATGGTGTCCTGACACCATGACATTTTAGTTGGCCTTGAACCAGTATTATACGGGTTTTTAGCCCAAGGGACGAGGCAGACATTGAACTCCACCCGTATGGCACTAACCATTCCAGTAAAAGGTTGTCTTTGATGTTCCAGGAACAGACATTTTGGCACAAATATGGTAAATTATGGATGTCTGACATTTACAGTGATTGGTTCAAAGCAGGGACTGTCACGAATCATAAATAACATTTTTTGTAAAAAAATTTGTAGAGTGTACTGCTTTGTTATTGAGGAATTTGTGATATAGTCACATGTGTCTGTCCCTGGTGCTGAAATACATGTTCAGGTTATAATTTGATTTTGAGGTAGCAAATATTGGTCTTGATTCCTGCCTGATACACAGTTCTAGATAGTCCATGCATGTCCAGAACATGGTTTTAGAAATGGATAGACTATCCAGAACTGTGTCTGGGCATGGTTCTGGATAAAGCATGGTTCTGTATAGAGCATGGTTTAGGATAAAGCATGGTTCTGGATAGAGCATGGTTCTGGATAAAGCATGGTTCTGGATAGAGCATGGTTCTGGACAGAGCATGGTTCTAGATAAAGCATGGATCTGGATAAAGCATGTAGTTTTTGACACAACGACAGTTTTCCAGATACCTTTGACCCTGTGTTGATGTCACACTGCAAAGAAGCCATGTGACAAGCCTTACTGGGTCAGTCTACTGAGGAAGACCAGAGTGACTGGTCAAAAGCTCTAGATGAGAGTACCTTTTGTGTTGGATCAAAAGTTTTAACTTTAAACATGTGACTACCAACACAGATGAACTTTCATGACAGTTTTCCAGTTGGTAGTACAAAATTTAATATACTTACCATCACTGTGTTTGAACCCGATGGCAGGCAGGATCTGTCCCATGGTCAGTTTGTTCTTCTTGAGGCCGTACATGGTCAGCCACTTCTGTGTGGAGATGGCCGGAGTGACGTCCAGTTCCCAGGTGGCCTTGGGCGGCGTCGGGATGGCCACCTTCATGTCCACTGTGGTCTTGAAGTCGTACAGGTCAAGTCGAGGAGGCTGGTCTCGGTGTTTCAGATCAAACTTGGGATCTGATGGGTCAAAAAAAGTCAAAGTTTAAGTTCATTCCTAGTGTAACAGTGGGGGGTTTATAGGCGCTACCAACTAACCCGTCCGTCGGGTCTAGACCTTTTCGGCCGAGTGGTTAGAGCGTCGGCATGTGGCCCGGGGGCCGTGGGTTCGATCCCAGCCCGAGACCAGGGTTTTTTATCTGTTTCTACTCACTCCTCCTGTTTCTAATACGCTACACCTATACATGTATATGGTACACAGGGCAGTGCCCATCTCCATTTTTGGCCCTTGGGCCACACAGTTATGCAATCACTACATTAGAGGCCTAGTCCACTGGTGATGGTGTGTATTCAACTTTAATACTCTTTCCCAAATGCTGAGTGCTAAGCAGAGAATAGAGAAAGCAGTATGAATCCTTTTTTTATAGAGCAGTATGAACATTAACCATTCTTAAAGTATTTGGTATGACTTGGCAGGGATATTGATATACCTATCATATAACAAGAAAAATTATTGCAAATTTCTATCAGCAAGGTACTCAAAAGGTCAGATTTAATCTGTCATAATCAATTCTGAACTATTGTCAGTGACCACAATATGATTTGCCAGAAATCTGAGTTGATTTCCCTATGGTGAGATTCATATATGTCAAGAATTTCTAATGACCAAACAATGAATTGTTTCTGTGACATATACATGTAAATACTGGGCATGATAAATCTAGGTGATGAGCTAAGGGAAAATTTGACGATTTGATATCAGAGGGTATGCCAGTGTTTTCTCTTATCAAATCATAAACAAATCATAAACAGATTCTTGTTGAACTCTTAGAGACTTTCTAATTTATGACAATTAATTATGTACCATGCAATTATGTATAATGTATTTGACGATTTGGGATGGAATGTGCTGTGTACTTAAGCGAGGGAAATGTGACATCATATTGAACCGAAAATCATCGATATATGATGTTAAAATCAGGTTTATCACTTTGCACTGATTAGAAAAAAAAACTAAAAAATTTCGCCCCAGCTTAATGTATGGCATTAAGGATTTAGGTAGGATTTTGTTGATTTATATAAAATGTATGTCATCTGGCATCTTAAAATGGTCATACAAACAAAAAGGTTTTGTATTGCTAATACATTCGAAATTGAAACTCTTACTGTAATAAACAACTAAACAGTTATCAGTGTGATACTAATGCCAAAAAACACTTTGTTGCTGGCTGGTCCTTAAAATGCCTTAACGGTATCATAATCCATACTAGAAGCAGGGTTGTGGTGTTTACTTCAATAGCCAATGAGATTTAAAGATGGCTTCAGGGTGCTAAGACAATTGTTTAGCATAGGAAAGCACTTAGTCACAATGCAGACCTGTGTAACCTGTTTCTTGTTGTCACAAATGATCAGCTCTGATTGTGCACAAGCAAAACATCTTTGTTCAACATAATGGCTGACCTATATTGACAAAACAGTTGAAAATATGTCCATGGTGACTTACTCAAAGGACTCTCAACAAAAATGGTCACACTACAGTGGACTGAGGTGGCGGCTATAGACAGGATTCTAAAAGCTTGTGTCAATCAATTGGAAAAATGGAAGTAAAGGACCACCAGAAAAGTGGCCGCAATTTTTAAGTGGTCCTTAAGTAGAGATGATCATTATTACTACAGGTTCAATGATAATGAAATATTATTACCTTTCAAAATTGAGGACTATGGCCCAAAATATTTTGAAACAACGTTTTCAAACAACAGAAACAATTATTTTGACTTTTACGAACATGATCAACAAATTCTATTTCAACAACCTAGGGTTTATTCACCCTGTCAGACATAATATGCATGTTTACAATAACACGCATTATCAAAATCATGTCAACCTCAAGCAACATTACACAGACACGTTTTCAGCTTAGTTTAATAATTGAGGATTTCAATCTTTAACACACAAAAGGCAGTCTGGTAGAGGTTAATCCTTTGTACCAGCATTTTCTTGCAGAACGTATCAGCTGAACACAATGGGAGCTTTTGTGGGTCAGTACACAGTCACTGCCATCACCATGGTACACAAGGCGATTACTACAGTTCTTCATGAGTGACTACATGTCTAGAATGATAACGTTGCAATTGTTGTTGCTGCTGCTACTGAGAAAATAATCCTTGTAAGACAGGCTAGACATCCTTATAAAATTCAGCACATAAGAAAAAGATTTACAACTTCAAACTGCCACTGAGAAAAAAAGAAACTCAAAACAACCACCTGTTAACAGTCTCATCTTTCTTTACCTCTAACAGTAATAAAAGTAAGGGGAAAGTAAAAATAACTGTAGTAGTACTTAAAGTACTTACAGTCCTTATAGTATATATATATATCCTGTCAACAGCTCTAAAAATCGATATAACATGGCTACTGGGACAATGGAATATGTCTTGGTTATTTGGCAAGACTGGACTGCCTGGAACATATGTTTTGTACCAGGACACCTAAGAAGCCACTAGCATGAAAAACCGATTTACCAATGAAATGAAAGGAAAGGCCTCATAGCTGCCAATCATTCTAAAATCACATGTCTAAAATCCTTTAGTTGGCGTGGATGTGTATTTGCATTACCAACAGGTGGCATATCTGATTTGAACCTGTGTAACATGGTGACATACCAACAAGTTTTCAGTCTACAAGTTTGGAGTAAAACACCTTTTTTAGACCATCCCGACAACTACTATCACAGATTCTGCCTCTGAGACTTCAATCTGTGTTGTTTGTAGATCTATTGTGGACTTAATTGATTGATTAGGTATATATACATGAGGGTGATAACACCTTACCAAGGCCAAAGTACAGAAAGTGTTTTGTTCATATGTTTTACGTACGTCGCAAGAACCAAGACTTTTCTCTTCAGAGATTTTATCCAATCTATATCTGTATATCTGTAGAATGATTTTGCTGTGATATTACATCATAATTTCCTTTTTCAGGGTAAGTTTTTTGAATAGCAACTGTAATCTAGGACAGTTATGCATTGAAACAGGTGTATCGCTATCTTACAAATTAGCACAGAACTGTAAGATAATGTGTTTTAGCAGCACTTAGAATAAAACATTACGTACTGTGGACATGTCCCATATCACCTAGTAATCTATACCCCAGGTATCTACCAGGTACGCACTAGTGCAACAAGCTTGAAGAGGAATACCTGTTTCACGTATCAACAAACTAGCAAGTTGACCCCAAAGTCACTTAGCAGAAAGATTCTACAGTTAAGCCCTGCACAAAAAAGCAAACAGCCAACTTAAGAAACAACAAAGAATGACTCCTTAAGATTAAATCTCTTAGGAATTAAAAAAAAAAGATAAGTTTTAACAACTCTTTCTTGATAATAGCCAGAAACTACTTTTTTGCCGCTATGTAATTTTTTTTCAATTTTCAATTCTAGTACTCAATGTTTCAGGACTAAAAGGTCGAAATCAATTATGATTTAAGTTAAACTTAATTAATACCATCGATTTTGGAGCAGCAAAAAATTGGGTATCGCTATGATTCATTCAAAGGAAATACATGACTTTTGTATGTAATCAAAACAATATTCAACATGTATGGGTGTGCCTGGCAAAATTCCCAGGGAACCATAGAGTCACTGGAAAAATAGTGATACAGTGTTTGGATATCAATAGGTAACCGTAATGGCCCCACCCACTTATTTGAACTTCAAGATCAAAAGGGTTCTAGTCGTTTGTGCTCTTATCAAAATCCTTCGTCTTTTCTGCTGTTGTTAAAATCCTCAGCTATGACCACCCACAAAACACCCACATACCCGTACTTGCTTTACATGAAAAATTCATACATAATTCATATTTCCATCATATCTGAAGAAGCTATAATACTACTCTGGCTTCAATAAACATAATTATAACAGCTTTTCCCATTCTGCCCAAGACTGCTTTTAAAATATTTTCTGCACATATTTTGTGTTTTTAACCCGTTATCAGAGCTTGTTATGTACCCTCTAAATCAATAATAGCTACTTTACAAATAGAGCCCTTCTTGCAATATATTTTAAAGTATTGTATTCTAGTAGTAATTTCTACAATAAATGAAAAATTCAGTAATACTACAAACAATCTTTGTAAGCCAAAAAAACTTCACCTACTAGTATATTCTGTTCAGGAAATGTTGCAATTCCCAAGTGGGTAGGAATAACATCTGGTACGTTACACCTGCGTTTTGTTCACCTGTCACAACTACCTGTCCGCACCAGGTGTGTCACAGTAGTACTAGGACACTGGCAAATAGGACGTGATTACCCCTGACAATAGCTGAGAGAGTCGGGACATTTATGGGCATAATTGTGCTCATCATGGCCTCAATCGCGGGAGAATGAGTGGAGGGGCAAATCAATTAAGGTTGTAAAATGGATGCACAACTTTAGGATTACAGGTGCATCTGTACTATAGAAAGTGGCTGACAATGAGGTAAATGTAAGGGTTTTGAGGGAACCATTTACAGAATGTTCCATTTAAAAAAGGGAAATTCTGACCTTAGAAAGGTAATGTAAAAGTTCTTAAGTTATGGATTTTACCGTTCGTAATCTTAAAATTAGAGATAGCCTTTTAAAAGTTGCCAAACTTGATTTTTTTTTCTTTCTCTTCCCTGACACATTTCGTGTTCTTTAAATTTCTTCTTCTCGATGTTATGAAATCTTAAACATTACAAGTATGACTTCTAATAGTTAAAACCATTAAAAATTTTAATATACGCGTAACTTTCCATTTCTAACTTTCAACTTACCTTCTCGCCAAGCTTGAATCTTCACCGGGTCCACAGTCGTGGCCATCTTGAAATTCTTTTTAAACTTTCCTAAATTAACAACGAAAAAAAATGGCATAGGTAAGGATGAGGCTATTAGATAAAATCATAGGCATGGTTTTCTAATATTTCACCGTAGCAGTTACAAGTTCCGATACATAACAAAAATCAAAGCATCTGTCTCTAATCCATTTCCAACACCGTCTCATATTTCCAACAGAAAATTGAAAACAAATGTCCAGATCTAAAAACCGTTTCAGACAAAGAAACTGATAGGAATTGTATAATGGTAATGGCAGCATTGAAAGTGTTCACAGACGTGTGCAATAACACTGAATTATTATTCTACAGATACATAAATAACTCAAAACACAGCTGATCAATGTGTTAAATTATTATACGCCCACCGACATAGAAACAATCATCAACGATCGCGTTAAAACCGTTCTAAAACAACCGCGGTTATTCCTACTCTACGCCAGAAACGCGACTCAAAAACAAGATGGCTTTAAAATATACATTATGTACTTACCAGAGACAAAGATTTGGCACTGAGAATCGTCTGCTTACTGAGAAAACGCCACTCGGAGCTGTGTTATGCCCCGGAGCCAGTGGTTACCCGTACGGTGTCAGGCAGCCATGTTCGGATTTTGTGTTGAGCTGCTTGTCGTTGCCCGGGTACAACCGCATCCAAACGCACCCAACCAAACAATATGTACTACCAGAACAATCATCTAAATTTCGACATAAAACACAAATGATGTCAAAGAATTCAATTAATCTATTAGATTTAGATTTATTTCTGTATCAATATTATGGAAAAACGCCCGTGTTATTCAGGAAAGTTCTACTCAAAATACGACGCTTTTGTGTTTTGATGCGCTCTATGTTTCGAAAAGAATCCAATCAGCGCTCTAATTAGCATACGTCACCAAAACTGTGTACTATTAGAGCGCTGCCTCCGGAAATTCGCTCTGTGAGTTCAAATTCGACATAAAAAGCTCGAATTTCATATATTTGTCGTTTGGACATGAAGATTCACAGTTTTAGAGCTTCTACAAGTGGCAGTCACGACGAGGAACACACTTGCGTAGAGCTGCACCCAGTTTTCTTGGACGTCATGAGTTTCTGTGCAGAACATACCATCTGCACTACAATGCTGAAAATTGTTTTGAAAATACCGATTTGCCATCAACCCAACAAATATTTCAAACCAGACAGTCGTTTGTATTATTATTCTTCTTTTACATATTTCTCTTAAAGTTGAGCTGTAGGGTTGTGGTGCAAATTGAGAGATTTGTAAATTTGGTGACGGTATGAACACCCCCTGACTAAGATAGTATAGTCCGCCAAGATGTCGAACCCGGTGCTGAACTTCTGTATCCGCCTGATGAAATGGCTCCCAGTCGTCTTCATAACCCTCATCGTCCTCTGGTCGTACTACGCTTATGTGGTGGAGATGTGTGTGTGTAAGTACACGGAGTTTCGTGCTCCCTGACGCCTCCGTTTTGTCAGGATTCTAGCCGGAATGTCGCCCTGTGCGTTTCATGGCCGATTCTTCGTGCCTAGTCGACTGTAGTCGGACCAGTTGTTGCATAGTCTTCTCACGGGTCACACCCGCCAACACCTGTGGCTATTGGGTTTTGCGGTCGCCTAGAAAATAGTACAACTGACTAAAGTTACCTACTAGTGCTGCACATGTTGTGAAACGCATTGCCAAGGCAACAATTAAGTGGCTTACTCGAGGAAATATGTTTAGTCTATAGGTTTCTAGGTACCACCCTAAGGAGTGTGGGTTAGTCCATTTAAATTTTAGGGAGGAGACTTGAAAATATGAATGATGGGTGGAAATAATTTCTGTCGTTAAAATTGATAAAACACTTGATAAAGAAACATCCTTTTGGCATTTTGTTAATGTTACGTTATCTTTTAGGTATTTAAAGAGCTTAGCCATGTTTAAGATTAGCGGTGAAACTTAAATACTAGAAAATATAGCTTTGGCTTCCATGCAAGACCAGGAAGTTATGAAGCCAAAGTGCATTATGTTTTGACCTAGTGACATTTCAGACTACAAATTGTCCCAACTACTAACATATTTCTCTTTGACGTCACAGTGTTGGTCTGCCCTGTCTGAAATATGCCACTAATATGACGTTCTGATTGTCATTCATGTCAGACTGTCAGTCAGGTAAATTTGATATCCGCACACGGTGGGGATGTATGATCAGACAATTGCTGTTAATTTGTGATCCATCGGTCTTTGGTTTGATAATGTGTCATGTGAGTATGTCTGGAGACTTGGAGCATCCTGTTTTGAACAAAAAAAAAGTCAAAGTGTGCTTTGATTTAGTCTAGAAATAAGTTTGACTGAACATTCACTTTAAGAACATGTTTCACCAAGTCTTTGTCTTCTTTATGACCTACTTAATATGATATTTTGAAAATGACACATGTTATAAAGAGCATCAACTTCAAGTTAAGATTATTTATCTAGAAATGTATACATGTACTAAGAAACATTAGAAGGATACCAGAAGTCTGATATGTAGAAAAACATGACCCAAATTCCCCAGCTTTCTGAACACTCTTGTTACGCGTTACTGACAGATGTGACAGATGGTAGCATGTTTAGGGAAAGGTAATTTGAAGGAAAAGAAATAAATTTGTTTCTTCTACTTTGCAGTTGCCATCACAAGCCTCCCACAGAAAGGTATGTAGTCTATTTTCTTGTCATATGCCTTCAAATCTTGTATAAATTTTTCTGTATTTTAACATGAGGAAAGAAACATAAAATCCAGTTATAGTATTCCACAATTTTGTCACTGCTTACTACTCTCCAAGCAGAGGTTTGGGTTTTGGGGGTATTTTTAGCGTGTTTTTAGGCTTTTTAATCGGGGTTTCTCTTTTGCACTGATTTTTTTCCCACCAAACCCAAATGCAATGGTAGGGAAAAAATTCAGTGCAAAAGAGAAACCCCAATAAAAAAGCCTAAAACACGCTAAAAATACCCCCAAAACCCAAACCTCTGCTTGGAGAGTAACTGCTTACAACATGTTTTGGTGGGTAACTGACTGACAAAGTTGTTTCCTTCTTGGCAGTGATTTATCTTGTCCTGTACCACATCTTCTTCCTGATATTTGTGTGGTCGTACTACCAGACCATCTTTGCTCCCGTGGGAAGACCTTCACAGGAGGTAATGAAAGATATCTCTCTCCTCTTATCTTTAACACAGTGAAGTCAATCAGTCTATCAATCAATCAATAACCTTTATCGGTAGCTGTTTGGCTACCAATTCACTGTTAGTTACGGGGTTAGGCAGGAGGGAGATGGTTAAAATTGCAACCTTGCAGTAATGACAGATTTGACAGTGCATTTTGTTTAGCAGTTGTTGACTTGTTGATTTTCGTAGTTTTGAAATGTTCACTCTGGTCAAGTATGTCGCTTAAAAATGAATTTTATATGCATCTATGGATGAAAAATTTTGTCACAGACCAAAGCAGGAAATAAAATTAGATATAGTAAAAGATGGGTTAAGGGTAAACTAGATAAAGTAAAAAAATGGTTAAGTGCTAACTATTGCAATTTCCATGTCCTGCAGTTTTACCTGAGTAAAGCAGACGTGGACAGACTGGAACATGAAGACAGAGAAGACCGACAACAGCAGCACCTGGCACAGATGGCCAAGGACCTGCCTCTCGTCACTAGAACCATCGGAGGATGTAAGCAGGTTTTATTATTAGGCCACACCGTCTTAATTTTATGGATGACATACGCGCGGGCATTGATTTTCGCCTGTCGCCCTCCAAAAAAAAAAAGATCACCTCCACCGAGGCTCTGACCTTGCTCTAGGCCTGGGTAGTCCATGGTAGTCAGCGACAAAACGGAGCCAAGCACCCAGGCTATCGAATTTGAAGCTCCACAACTCATGAATTCCAAAAAAGCCAGAATGTGCCGGCTTGTTGTATACGTCGCTATGTACTGCCGCAAGGTCACAGTACTTGAGCTTTGTATTCCTGTGGGCACACATAAGTCTTTTCTGTGGTTTAGTAGCGTTTTTATTTTTGGCCGGAATTTTTTTTTTTTCGCCCGCGCGCACTAGTTTGGGGTCTTCAGAGGATGTCATCCCTAAAATTAAATCGGTGTGGCCTTACAATACAAATATAAATACTTGTCTTCTGAGATGGAAGTATTGTTTTGGGTTGCATTGCTTTGGGGGAGTTTGTATGTGCCATTTCCTGAGCAGTGAGGACTGGACATGAGTGGGTGCAGATTGGGTTTATTTATAATTGAAGGGTTAGGAGTCAAATGGAACATTGTATGTAGAAAGATTTTAAAAACTGAAAGTAGAAAAGTGAAAGGAATACATAGCCTTTTGATGTTTCCTCTTTAGAACAAACAAGTATGTGTTATCAGCATGAAAGTTCATCTGAGTTGGTAAATTACATTATGAAAAATTCAGTCAAAAATTCCGGTGAGTGAAATTTATGAGTTAGAGAACAGTTTAAATTTTTCATAAGTACGTATTATATGTGTGTGAAAAAAGCATTGACTTTGTTGTGTTTATAAAGAATGCAGTGGAAAATGAAATACATTTTGTTAGCCAGTGTCCTCACTATGAGACCGAAAGAAACAGATTATTTCAGACAGTTACAACAATTTCTCCATCCTTTCGTCATTTAGAAGATCACCAAAAAACTGCATTTCTACTAAGATCACAAAACCCACTAATTATGAAGAACGTGGGACTATTCATTATCCACTGCCTTCAAAGAAGAAGTCGAACCCCATAATAGCTTAGTAGTAGAAGTAGAAGTTTCTCAGACAGTTGTTACCTGTCTCCTGTTGATACTTGATTGTAAAAGCAATTAGCCTTCGGGCATGATTTTGCAAATAAAGTTTCTATAAATGCAACATTCTTTCTCCGTCAGCGATCCGCTACTGTGAACCCTGCCAACTCATCAAACCTGACAGATGTCATCACTGCTCCATGTGTGGAACGTAAGTATTGATTTTTGATAATGAGGATAATACTATTATTAGTAGTCATAGTGTTTATTTGGCAAGCACATGTTGGAAGCTAGATCGCAATCTCTATCCTGATACTAGTATATACATAGCGGTATCTTATAAGTTATACACTACATGGTAAATCCACTATGGTCATGTATCAACATTTCATTCATAGCAAATGTACTTAAAAGTATCATATAACCAACACTTTCGGTACTGTCATTCTGACACTTTTTTTTATTGTACAGGTGCGTATTAAAGATGGATCATCACTGTCCCTGGTAAGTAAATGTTAACACCTAATTAATCAATTCTATAGGATCACTAAAGACTGGACTACACAATAAAGATACAATGTTTTGTGCCCAGTCACATTTTTAAAACCTGATTCTGTATCTGTAATTATACCTGCACACTCCCTATTTGGGTATATCATTTACCTTATGCAGTATTTCCTATGCTTATCGCTAGGTGGCGCACGTGTACAAAGCTCTAATCGCAAAGCATCACGGGATATCATGACGTAATGACATTGTTCGCCGCCATTTTCCTTGTGCCTTCGCAGAGGGGTGCACGTTCGTTTCCCTACTCCTTATTTTTTCGGATTTTCTTTCGGCGTTAGGCCCAAAAAGAAGGATAAAACGAAGTCTTCTGCCCACGAGGGCGATTCAGGTAGCCTTTCGGAGGACCAGACGGGTCGTAACGGCAAGGGAAGCGGCCTGTTTCCCAACGCTAGTCAGGAAAAATTCCTGGCCGTGGAAAGTACCACAGGCGTGTCTCAACATGCCTCCGGACAGGAGGAAGAGGAGTCGGGTGAACGAAAAGTCCCCGCTCCTACAGCTGGAGGTTCGGAGGAAAAAGAGAAGAACTCCAACCTCATTCCGCCGTTTGGGAGCGAAATGCCCCTTCGGCGTTGGCACCGGGAACATCCGCCACTTGGGAGCGAAATGCCCCTTCGGCGTTGGCACCGGGAACATCGGTCAAGGAAGGAGACGGCGCGGAGCTGCCGCCGCCCCGGCCTAAATTTCCTCCGGACTCGGAGGAGTTGGGCTCCCCGACCGTGCCGAAGCTTGGTGGGGAATAGTCTCCTCCACCCCCACCTCCATCAGAAACACCCTTCCCGCCTGGATTCGACGCTGCCTCTTTTCTTCAGTGGATCAGTTCCAGCTTGGGACTTCCTCAGGCGTCCAGTTCATCCCGTCAACCTCGGGACGTTGACGGGGCGGTAGCGTCGACCAGCCGAGCCGGTGTAGTCGGTTCCGGCGAGAGCATCCAGGTTCTGAAGTGGAAGAGTGTTCGGAGGAGGGAAAAAAATCACCTTTTTCTGACTCTGACGAAGGTAACTCCTTGTCGTTTGATAATCCCTACGATAATAACTTCAAATAAGTATTTGGAGGAACCGGTGGGGAAATCGGTCTTGAAGACATGTTTCATATCTTGTTTCATGTCCTTGCCACACATTTCACGTCTATACTGAGTCATAGTAGAGGAAGCTGATCCCAAAAAACACCAAAGACGATTCTATCGCTTTGCAAACAGCATCGGGTTTAGAGGATGGTCCGAACCCTTAGTGAAGAGAGGAAGGAAAACTTTTCCCACTCCACCTAATGTTGAATTAGCACTTCGGGCGCCGATTCTAGACCCAGTAGTGGCTAATATGATCAAGCATGATACCGTAAACACTGATAAGAATTTTAGTGATTGCCAGGATAAGATGCTCATGGCTGCTAACCTTTTAGTAGAGTAGTTGTTGGCAGCAGTTAAACTCCAAATTTGTGAGTAAAGTCCTCGCTCAAAAATGTAGCGACCTGCTCGGGAACTTCAGACTCTTCCCCTTCTTAATTTTGGAGACACCTTTTTGGAGAAGGTTAATTCAGCCGATTAGGCTAGACGCACTTTGAGTAAGGCTTATAAGTCAGCCCCTTCGAGCACTTCTAAGTCCAACCGTTCAAAGTTTAACTATAGCTACAACAAGTACTCCTCAAACTAAAGGGTTACATTTTTCGTCCCTACAACAACAAACCTGTAATTCTACCCTAGCCATCTAGCGGTTTTGGTCAAAACTGCAGTGTTTTTGCCCAAGTCTCACTGAATCTCGCGAGATATCGGGAGATTTGAAGAAAACAAGATGGCCGACCTCGTGCCGGGCGCTACACATTTCTATGTTCAAGGCCACGAAAACGTGTCCAAAACTCGTAAAATGGATTGAATACAAGGTCACAACAAAGAAGAAATGTTCTTCTCTATATGTTTAATTTGTTGGAGCACTGATTCCTCATTTGAAGGGAAGATTTTCGTGAGTTATTTTTCTTCCATGTTGCCGAATTTTGAAAGGGGATTTTCCACGTTACGATCGCCATATACTAGCCCCAAAAAATCTATTCTCTGACTGTTTGGGCTGTATTTCATGGAGAAAATAGGCGTTGTTTACATGAAAACAGGATTTTCAAATGCCAGCAGGGTGTCAACATTTTACCAAACACATTGATTTTGTGTAGCAAAGTGGACTATTGTTATTCAAATAGCGCCTTTTTACAACTTTTGTCAGACAATACCGATGGGCATAGTGACGCCGCTTGGCCCCCAAATCAGCAAAATTTCACGAATTAGCCAAGCTAACACAAGCAAAAGTACGAAGAGAAGACCCTACATTTGAAAATTTTTGAGAGGCGCAGCGC